TTTTCCCCACCTACTTCAGAGGTTTGCTCTGTGGTCTTTTGTCATTTCCTGTCCATTCTTCATAAACATCTTTCTAAAACCTAGATGGTTTCTCTAGGAAACTCTTTCACGGCTTTCAGCCCCTAACAATTGGAAGTCTGGGGGTGTGCGTGGGGGGGGGGGGTTGGCCTTCATGTTTGACCTATCTTCACCTTTTTATTATTTTTTTCCACTGTCCTTCAGCATTATGGAACTCCTTATAGCTCTCCTGCTACTGCTTAAACATTGTTCAGCAGCTGTTTGTTGATGTGTCAGGTATATTTCATTGAATATAGCTTTTGTGCTGTCTAGTCTCTTGATCTGTATGAAATATGACAGGGAAAATAAAAAGAAAGTTTGAAAAACTCAAAAAGTAGATAAATGTTAAAGAAAAGCAAGAGGTGAAGAAACCCAGTAGGCCTCTATGGAGGCCAAGGAGGGCTGCTTAAATTAAAATGAAAGTGATTGAGTGACTTACAAATATTCTGTCCATTTACCTTAGTAAGATATTCTGTTATTTCACAGATTAAAAAATCAGTGGGACTATTTGGTACATTTCAAATTTTAAAAATTACATTGGAAAGGATTAGCTGTTGGTATTACTGCTCAACACCTCCCTTCCACAGTGGGGGGCTGCCACCTCAGAGGCTCCTCCTGCTGGTTCCAAGCTGAGCCTTCTTTTTGGAGGCAGGAGGGGGAGGGGAGATCAAAGGATTATAAGAACTGAGGATTGAAGAGGACTTGTGATAATTTCTGAGGAGTAATGGGAAGTGGAGCCAAGGAAGAGAACCCATAGGGTGATTAGACACAGCACTTGAAATAAAGCTACTTGTGTTCCAAATAACATTACACACATACACACGCACAGCAGTATCTTGGTATTAAAATATAAATTGTGGTATACTGGAGACTGGGGGTAGAGGGGTTGGAGAGGAGGGGAATCTTTAAAATTTCTAAACAGTAATGTTAAATTTAGTTGTTCCAATAAGTTATAATTCCATGAGCCTGGTTTTGTTTTGTTTTGTTTGTGCTGGTCCAGGGGCTCCATCTCAGGATCTGAGTGCTGTCCTTGAGCTTTTTTGCTCAATGCTAGAGATCTACCACTTGAGTTACAGCTCCACTTCTGGCTGTCAGCTATAATCCTCAAATCTCAGTCTCCTGAGTAGCTAGGATTGCAGGCATCACCTAGTGAAACAATAGTGTTTTTTAAACCTGTTAGTACTCACCACCAAAGGATTATTTACCTATGCCTATTACACATAGTATAGGGCATCCACACAAATAAGTTTACTTATATTTTCCTCACGTTCAGAACAAGACACTCCCATCATTTACATTACTCATTAAAACTGTCTATTAGTTGTACAGGCCTAGGGCCTTTACGTCAAGTACATCATCTTTTGCCAGACACTTTTCTAATTTATATTCTGAAAAGTAGAGTTAATAGCTGATAATATCTCAACTAAACAATGTATGCATTTTTATCTTATTTTAAAAATAGCAAGCCAGATGCAGGTGGCTCACACCAATAATGCTAGCTATTCAGGAGGCTAAGAGCTGAGGATCATGGTTCAAAGCCAACTGAGGCAGAAAAGTCGATGAGACTCTTACCTTCAATTAACCACCAGAAAACCAGAAGTGGCTCAAAGTGGTAGAGCCTTAGCCTTAAGCAAAAAAGCTCAGGAACAGTGCCCAGGCCCTGAGTTCAAGCCCCACAGCCAACAATAAATAAATGAATGAGTGAATGAATATCTAAAAATATACTAATAAATAATAATGAATGTATTCATCTCTCATCTCATCAAAATGGTAGGAACTCCATTCTTTATTAGTATTTGTACCACTTCTGAATAGGCTATTGCTTAATTCAAGATTAATGTATTTGGGACAGGACAAGGTCAATACTCACAAGAAGTGGTGTTGTAGTCAACTCTCTTAAAGAATATTATCAGTGAAAGGGGTGACAATGATCAAGATGCATCATAGTCACAAACATATACTGAAACCCCTTTGAACAACAACATCAACAATAATAATAAAAGAACATTTTCAGCTTTTCTTATTCTCCCTTTTTTGTAGTGGTAGGCTAGCACTACCACTTTAAGCCATAGCACCACTTCAGGTTTTCTGGTTGTTAATTGGAGATAAGAGTCTCAGGGATTTTCCTGCCTGGACTGGTTTTGAACCATGATCCTCAGATCTCAGCCTACTAAGTAGCTGATGTGTGAGCCACTAGTACCTGGCTTAAACCGCTAGTCTATAAAACTGAAGTGTATAAAAATATACACTTTAATCCTAAGAACTTACCTTTTCTGTAGATGTTTGCTACAACTTTAGTGTATGTTATGTTTGCTGTTTGGGGGTTGATTTTATTAGCTTGTTTGGGGAAGCAACTTTGATTTTAAGTTAATGCCTGTTTAAATAATTGTTCTTCACATACATTGGACATAACAGCCTCGCCTGAATTCTGTAAGATCATAAATACTGGAATGAGATTTAATCAAGAAGAACATTTTATGCAGAGGACAAAGTACATATAGTCAATGTGGAGTATACTGTTAATGCTTTTCATTTTCTTTTTTTTTTTTTAATTATTTTATTTTAGGGTCTGGTAGTGGGGCGTGAACTCTGGGCCTGGGTGCTGTCTCTCAGCTCTTTAGCTCAAGGCTAGCGCTCTACCACTGGAGCCACAGCACCACTTCTGGCTTTTTTCTTTTTGCTTATGTGGTGCTGAGGAATTGAACCCAGGGCCTTATGCATGCAAGGCAAGTGCTCTACCACTGAGCCACCTTCCCAGCCCCTGCTTTTCATTTCAATTTCATATAAACTAGAGAGTTTATATAAAATTTATACTCATGAAAATTCCTATCAAATAACAGTTGAGCTATTAGATTGTTGGATTACTCCTTTTCTGGAGTTATCTCATTGACAGTTGAAAAATTTGTAAAAGCAAGATTTTAAAATTCATGTAGGAAAAAATGTCTTATCATCTTAATGGTCTCTTTTAAGTTATTACTAACTTGGTAAATTGCTGATTTTGAAGTTTACTAGAACTCTGACTTAAAATTCCTTTAAATTTAATAGAAATGAAAGGGTTTTGAGTTATATATCATTCTGGATAACTACTAAAAAAGAAAAAAAAGAATGGCCAAAAGCTCTTACCTCTCTTTCCTTTGATTGCCACCTGGTACTTTATTATATATTTTAATTGACTATAAATTTATTGATCCTGGCTATATTATTAGCTACTAAAATTCTTAAACCATAACATATTTTGTAAGTACCTACTGCCCCTTGGATACTGAGCAATCAATATTTATTGCCTCAAAATTGCTTTTCCTTTAAATGTGGCTTTGGAGAGACAACAATCTGACAAGCAGGAGTGCAAAGCACTGAGGAAAGGAAGGGGTGACACTGATCAAGAGGCATTGTACTTATAAACTGGTTTGTTGAATTGCAACCCCTTTGTACAGCTACTAAAATACAATTTTTTTTAAATGTCAGAAAAGGGGGTGCAAGGCTCTGGGTTTAATCTCAAATTTTGGCACAGGAGAAAAAGACAGAAAAGCAGGTTAGTGTGAGAAAAGAAGTAAGTGAGTAAAGGAGTTTGGAGCAAAGTAGGTTTTTTTGGTTTTGTCTTGTTTTTGGGGGGGCTGGTCGTAGGGCCTGAACTCTGGGCCTGGGCGCTGTCCCTCAGCTCTTCAGCACTCTACCACTTGAGCCACAGCACCACTTCCGGCTTTTTTTTTTCTTTTTGCTTATGTGGTGCTGAGGAATCGAACCCAGGGCCTAATGCATGCAAGGCAAGCGCTCTACCACTGAGCCACCTTAAAGTAGTTTTTATGTGATTTTCTTAAATATATTTAAGGAGTGGTGTGTGTGTGTGTGCGTGAGCATGTGCGCTGATACTGGGGCTCAAACTCAAGGGTTCTGTGTTCTCATCGTTTTCACTCATGGCTGGGCTTCTGCCTCCAGAAACTGGAGCCATGCCTCCAGTTTCAGACTTTTTGCTGGTTAACTAATGATTAGAATCTCCCTTTGATTTGTCTTCTCTGGTTAGAGTCAAATCACAATCTTCCAATCTGAGTCTCCTGAACAGTCAGAAGTACAAATGTGAGACACTAGTGTCTGACAATGTATATAATTTAAAATTTAAATATATTTTATTTCTGTCACTGTGACTCCTGATTTATAGTCACTGAACATTTTTATATAATTATTAGTGGTTGTCATTGTTTTGCTTATCTACTAATACATTTATATGAACCATGTTGTATTAAAATTTCTTTTTTCCCCCAAAATACAGATGAAGTTAAAAACACTCTTACTTCATTTCTTTTTGTTTTTTGTCGGTTGTGGGGCTTGAACTCTGGGCTTGGGCACTGTCCTTGTACTCTTCAGCTTAAGGTGAGCGCTCTACCACTTGAGCCACAGCACCACTTCTGGTTTTCTAGGTTTATTGGAGATAAGAGTCTCACGAACTTTCCTGCCTGGGCTGGCTTTGAAGCGAGATCCTCAGATCTCAGCCTCTTGAGTAGCTAGGATTACAGGCATGAGCCACCGACGCCCGGCTCTCTTACTTCATTTCTGAATCTTGTGCACATGTCCTTTTGCTAATATTTGAAAGTAGGATTAGAATGATGGAGTGCAGTGTAGGAGTTGTATTTATTTTATAGTTGTGTCAGATCAGCTATAAAGAATATAAAGGCCTGGAGATGTAGCTTCGTGGCGGAGCACTTGCCTAGCATATACAATACCCTTAAGTTTGATCCTTAGCACTGCAAAGAACAAAACAAAAATTTTGACACTGGTGTTTTGAGAAAATTTAGATTTTTCCAAATTCAGTAATGCTCTACCACTTGATCCACAACCCAGTCTCCAATCTCAGTCAAATTTTATATCCTTTCTTTGGGTTCACAAAAACAAATGACAATGACATTGTACCTCTTCCTGCTTTTATATTCCCTGTTTTATCTTTTCAGCTTGAGGAAGAACTTGATCCTGAAGAGAGGGACAACTTCCTCCAACAGCTTTACAAGTTTATGGAAGACAGAGGTATTTTATGCTTGTTATGTAAAAGTAGTCATTTCTTTTATAGTTTTAAATTTTAGGTATATGCTTTTTTTTTTTTTTTTTTTTAGTATTGTAGGTATATTGTATACCAGTTACACTGGCAGTAACCATTGGGAGTAAAAACAAACCATCTACTTTGAGTATATATAAATATGACAGCAGTTCTGATATAATTGAATTTAATCCTCTCTGAGATTTAAAAAAAAATTCACAATATTCAGAAATGGAAAAGGACTGGTTGTAGTGGTAATCTACATGCCTATTTATTACTAATGCTATAATTATGACAAGCAAAATAGCCTAATCCTTACTTTCAGTAAAGTAAGCATAATAGACCAATCTCTCTCAGTAGGATAGGCTTTTTAATGAGAAGTGGAAGAAATAGAACCATTATAAATCATCGTACTCCTTGACATTCATTAGTCCTAGAAAGTAGTCTTAGACATTCTATGGCCACCTGAAATCACCTAACAGCTTTTAACTCTTTGTATGAGAACAGAGGTAGTAAAACCACAGCCTAAAATTTCTCTTGCCATCTTGCTTGCTTGCTTAAGTGAACCAGAAACATTGTAAGCTATACCTTGTAGTCCCAAGGTTTAGTTGAATTTTACCCACTTCGCTGGCAGAGAGGTGATGTTATTAGTTGCAGAAATTTGAAGCTTAGAATCTAAAAATCCTCACAAATCTGTATAAAGAACATTTTGTGGGGCTAGAAAGGTGGCTCAGTGGTAGAGCAGGCTTGCCTTGCATGCCTGAGGCCCTGGGTTCGATTCCTCAGCACCACATAAGCAAAAAGAAAAAAGCCGGAAGTGGCTCTGTGGCTCAAGTGGTAGAGCACTAGCCTTGAGCTGAAGAGCTGAGGGACAGTGCCCAGGCCCAAAGTTCAGGCCCCACGACCAGACCCCCCCCCCCCCAAAAAAAATATATATATATAGTATTGTCTTAAATGATCTAAGATTCTTTAAATAGATGCCTTTTAGTTAATGAACTTTGGGGAATTAGAAGGCAATGTCCTTGTTTTCAAAGTTCTGTTTTATATTTGAATTAATTATATATTTGAATAAACTTTTTATTTTCTTGTATTACAAAGGTACTCCAATCAATAAACCACCAGTTTTGGGCTATAAAGACCTTAATCTCTTCAAACTCTTTAGACTGGTTTACCATCAAGGTGGATGCAACAATGTAAGTGTTATACTGCTCTGAAATACACATGGACTAGATTAAAGGTTAGATCATCTAATGTTGCATTAATAAACACATTTTCCCCTCCAATTTTTTTTTTACTAACTTTAGTTGTACAAGAGGGTTTTATTTTAACATTCCATTATGCAATGCATATAGAGTACCTTGATCAGACTCCCTCCCTCCATCGTTTTCTCTTACCCTCTTCCTCCCACACATTTTCATACATAACATAGATTTTTCATGTAAAAATTATTTCCCTTTGTAAATGTTAACAAATGAAAACTTAATTTTCCAGATTGATAGTGGTGCTGTATGGAAGCAAATTTATATGGACCTTGGCATTCCGATTTTGAATTCAGCTGCTTCCTACAATGTAAAAACTGCTTATAGAAAGTAAGTGGCATAGTATTCACTTAAGAATATGTATTTAATTTATTAATACTTGAACCAAGTATGCATTAATCAAGGAACCTAAAAGTTACCCATATTTAGGTTAGCAGTCCATGACTAAAACTTATTCAGACCATCTACCCTCCTTTACTCTAATTCTCAAGTGATTCTGATTTCTTTCTAAGATCAAAGTTGCAAGTGTGATTTGTAATATGCAATTAAGATTCATATTACAGCACAGTATATTTTTGGATGAACACTTTAATTATAACAAAACTATGACAATTATGATCAGTTGTCATGTGCTCAGACTTTTCAGGAAAGCATTTTAAGTTTATAATCCTAATCTAGTATACCCAGAAATTAGTGACATAGGAAAAATACTTAAAAACAAATGTCTCAAGTTTCACTAGTTAACACAGTATATATGATTAATAACAATATTTGAGTTAAAAAAAGATTTCTTAAAATGAAATATTGTTTGTTTAGGTATCTATATGGTTTTGAAGAATACTGCCGTTCTGCAAATATTCAGTTCAGAACTATTCACCACCATGAACCAAAAGTAAAAGTGGAGAAAAAAGACATAGAAGAACCAATGGAAGAGGCTCTAAAAGTTGATCAAGAAATGCCTTTAATAGAAGTGAAAAGTGAGCCTGAAGAAAATATTGATACAAACAGTGAAAGTGAAAGAGAAGAGACAGAATTAAAATCTCCAAGAGTGAGTACTTAAAGAGTTTTATCTGGTTTATTTTAAGCATTATTTTAATTTAATTTTGGACATTTTCAGATGTACACAAAGTACTACAGTATGTAAGCCTTGCTTATTTTCCAGTGTTTAATATAATTCAGCTCAAATAATTTCACTCTTTCTAAATATACACCCATTATTTCAAGCAGAGCTTGAACATACTTCCTTTGTTTTCTGTTTGCTGGGAACAGACTCACCCTTTTCTTTCAGGTGTCTAGCTAAAATGTCACTTTAATGAAGCCTAGACTTGTCACATCATGTGAAACTGTAACAGACCTTGTTTCTTTGGCACTGTCAGTCCCTAATATACTCAAGTATTCTGTTCTTTGTGGCTTTTGCCTCATTGTACTACATCACACTCAATAAAGGCAAAGGAAAACTGCTGACATTCATTGACAGATTTCAGGTATCTAGAACAGTGGCTAGTGAATTCTAAGTGGTAAGTAGTTGTTGAATGAATCCTCTTTATAATGCCCATGTCCTCACCCAACATGGACACAGGTATGTGTAACTCCATAACACTATAATGTGCTCATTGTATGTACCCTGATTGTACCTTTCAACTCTTCTCCCATTATGCAAATATAAGGAATTACATTTACACCATTCTGATAGTAGAATTTATTGTGTGTGTGTGCTGGTATTGGGGCTTGAACTCAGGACCTTGTGCTCTCATTTGGCTTTGTTCATAGCTGCTACTCTACCACCTGAGCCACATCTCCTGCCTCGATTTATCAAATTTTTTGAGAAAGGAATTTACCACACCATCAGAGAAGTTAGAATGTCTGTTAATATGTCTTATTTTTTAGTGAAGAGATGAAATCCTCTGCTTTTCTTTCAGTTGCTTAGATATCTTTTTTTAACTGAATGTCATCTCTTAAGTAGAATCTTCTATGAGTTAATGAAATACACAGATTAATTCTTTTTAAATCCTAATGTTATTTTAAAATTATGGGAAGACACATATAAAATTTTTCATCTTAATTATTAAGAGTGTGTAGCTGATTGCCATTGCTTCCTGTGGCTGTATTGCTGTCACTAATATCTGTCAGTTTCTAGGGCTAGAATCTTTTCACCATGCAAAACTGCATGTGTGGGCCTTGGGGCTTGAATTCAAGGTCTGGTTGCTGTCCTTGAGCTTTTTCACTGATGGCCAGCACTTTATCAGGTGAGCCATAGCCCCACTTTCGGCTTTTTGGTGTTCAAAAGTCTCATGGACTTTTCTTTTGATCTGGCTTTGAACCATATTCTCATACCTCAGCCTTCTGAGTAGCTAGGATTACAGATGAGAGCCACTGGCACTTGGCTCTTGAATTGTCTCCCTTTTAAACAGCAGTATCCCGCCTTTCTCTCAGTCAGCTCTCTATCACTTTTTACTTCCTATACCTATGCATCTGATACTGTATGTTCCTCATAAAGTAGAATTATACAATATTTATCTCTTTATGTCTAGCTTCAACATAATGTTTTCTAGATTCATCCATGTTGTAGCATTTAACAGAAGTTCCTTTGATTTTCAAAGATGACTAATATTCCATTGTATGTTATTCATTTTATGCATTGTGGACAGACTTTTTGTTTTTACCTGAAGACCTTGGCCTGTACAAGATACTTGCAATGTACTATATAGTACAGATGAAGCATAATTTGCCTTCCTACAATTTATTCTAATATTTTATTAGCACAAAAATGTGCTGTGATCCTTAGGACCAGGTGACCAGGTGTGGTGATGCACTCCTGAAATCCCAGCTACTCAGGAAAAGGATAGGATTAGATTTTGAGGCCAGGCTGGGCTAAGTTAGTATGAGACCCTATCTGAATGAATTTACAAAACAAAACAAAAAATAAAACCTAACAACTAAAGAAATTGAGGATTAAAATACTTGCCTAACAAGGTCTTGATGGCAACCCCCCAATACCGTGAAAGTAGTGTGAAATATAGAAAAACATCTTCTGAATTTAAATGATTATATAAGTCAAGCTTCTAAAAATGGGATTTCTGGAAATGTATATATACACATGTAAATGGAGTATTATTCAGTCATAAAGAAATAATACTACATGCAGGAAACATGGCGGAACTGGTGATTGTCACATTAAGTGAAATAAGCCAGGTTCACACAGACAAACAGCACTTATTTTCACTCATGTATGAAATCTAATCCTATAACACAATTAATAATATGTCATGATTTTTACATGAAAGGGTGATTATTTAGGGGAGGCAGACCAGTGAGTAGGAGGAACAGGGAAGAAGAAACCTACCAAAAATATTTTAAAAGAAATGAGAAAAGACAGGAGAGGTGGTTAAGAAAGAATAATGAGGATGAAGTAAATTTGATCAAAGGACATTATAAGCATGTTGTAAATATCACAAGCCCCTCTATACAATTAATTTATGCTAATAAAAAGTAAAATGGGATTTTTGTGGGATAAATGCAGTCTTAAACTTAGATAGTTAATAGTTGTTCTCATTCCTTTAGCTACATTATTTAAAGATTACCTACTGTGTACAAGGACCTATCTAGAACTGAGGACACACAGTGAATAATACAAATCTCCTGCTACCGTGGAATCTTCTAGTGTTTTCTGATAGAAATGAATTTCTGCTTCCACTTTTTTTTGGGGGGAGGGGGCAGTTGGTCATGGCGCTCTACCACTTGAGCCATAGCACCACTTCTAGCTTTATGTGGTGCTGAGGAATAGAACCCAGGGCTTCATGCATGCAAGGCAAGCACTCTAACACTGAGCCACCTTCTCAGCCCTCTTGCTTCCATTATTGAAGCAGAAATAACACATAGGAACTTGGGAAGATATTTAATTACTAAGCTATTAATTGTATTCTATAGCTTCCTAATTTGCTGATTCAATTTTTTTAAATCCTTGCTGCATTCAAAGTACAAGAGAGGTCTGTATACAAGTTGACTTAAAGTAGAATGGATCACCAATTTCATTGGCTGGGCTACTTGAGAGACAGAGGTAGGAGGACTGTGATCTGAGGCCAACCTGGGACAAGTTAGTGCAAAACCCTATCTGAGAAACAAACTAAAAGCAAAAGGACTGAGAGCATGGCTCAAGTAGTAGTCCCAAGGTTAGGTAAAAGCTGTTAGTGATGTAACAAGTTCCTACTTGCTGGTGAAATACAGAGAAAACTCTTTACCTTTTTGCCATTGATGCAATTAGGGTTATTTGTTTATTGTGGTACTTTTATTTATTTTTGTGGTATTATGGATTTGTGTTCAGGACCTTGCGCTTGCTAATAAATGCTTTGCACTTAGCCACATCCCCAGCTGTTTTTGCTTAATTATTTTGAGTAAGGTCTCACTTTTTTTTCATCTTTTTTTTTTCAATGTTTGAGACCAAGCATCTCTGTCTTACTATGGAATAAAGCTAGACAGAGATAGTAATGTATCATATGCTTTAAGCAGGGGGGAACGACAATAGAACAATTCAGTTATATTGTATCCGTACCTGCATTCACTTATTTTTATTTTTATACATATATTTAAGGTCTCACATTTTTTCCTACACTCATCTGGACCAACCACATCTTCCTATTTATATGTTCACATTGCTAGGATTATGGGCAAGAACCACCCAACATTATTGGTTGAGATGGAGTCTTGATAATTTTTGGGCTGTGATTAAATGGTGATCCTCTGGAGCTTCACTTGATGAGTAGCTGAAATTTCATGTATGAGCCACTGTGCCCACCATAAGCCCTTTTAAAATATAGTCACGTACAAATACTGTAAATTGTATCTTAACTAATGATGAACCTGGTACCAGTGGTTCATGCCTATAGTCCTAGCTACTCAGGAGGCTGAGATTTGACAATCCTGGTTCTAAGCCAGCCAGGGCAGGAAAAACCCTGAGACTCTTTATCTTCAGTTAAATACCACAAAAGCCAGAAGTGGAGCTGTGGCTCAGGTGTAGAGAACTAGCCTTGAGCACAAAAGCTCAGCGACAGCCCTGAGTTTAAGCCCCAGGACTGACACACACACAAAAAAACCCACAAGTAAAAGAAATAAGCAGTAGAATCAGAGACTATAGAGCTTCATGGAGGCCATAATTATGGAGATTGGTTTATTAACATTTAGATAATTTATTTAAAGTTCCCCTTTTTTTTTTTTGGTCAGTTATGGGGCCTGAACTCTGGGCCTGGGCACTGTCCCTCAGCCCTTCAGAAGCTCAAGGTAAGCACTGTACCACTTGAGCCACAGCACCACTTCCGGCTTTTTCTGCTTATGTAGTGCTGAGGGATCGAACCTAGGGCCTCATGCGTGCAAGGCAAGCACTCTACCACTGAGCCACCTTCCCAGCACCTAAATTTCTTTTTATAGTTAAGAAATATTAAAAGTAGCCAGGCATAATAGTTCGTGCTTGTAATCCTGGCACTCAGGAGGCAGACACAAGAGGTTCTTGAGTTTAAGGACAGACTGGACTACATCAAGTCTCTTTCTCAATGTACCCACTCTACTTTTCCAAGAAGAAGCCAAATAATTGTAGTATAAAAAGTGAGGATATAGCTCAGTGGTAGAGCACTTACCTAGCATCTAAGACCATGAGTTTCTTTTTATTCTGGTGCTGGAGACTGAAACCAGGGTCTCACATGTCAGAGCTACTATTGAGCTACATCAGAAGAGGAAAAAACATTTTTTTTAGTGGTCTTTGTTTTGATCTTGTCATGTTGTGCTTGCTAGGCAAGAAGTCTCCCATTTGAGCTACATTATTAGTCATAATTTTTATTTTTATTATTTAAATTTTTTTTTTCTGTAGTTGGTTGTGGGGCTTGAACTCTGGGCTTGGGCACTGTCACTGAGCTCTTCAGCTCAAGGCAAGCGCTCTTCCACTTGAGCCACAACTCCACCTCCAGTTTTCTGGTGGTTAATTGGAGATAAGACTTTCTTGCTTGGGCTGACTTTGAACTGTGATCCTCAGATCTCAGCCTCCTGAGTAGCTAGGATTATAGGCATGAGCTACCAGGGCCCATTTCTGGGCCTAATTTTATTTTTTAAGTAGTATATGCCAGGAATCATGCTAGATCTGGGCATAATTGATTTATTTTTGTTTGTCTTTTACTTTCAGAAGGTAGAAAATAGCATGAGTTGTTGCTTTCCAGAGACTTGTGTGAAGCAGGAGACCAGACTTAGTCATTGGTGTGAGGGTTTAAGGGAAAGGTGTCTCTTTAGCCTTTCAGGCCTTTGTCTTAAACCTTTTATTCCTCCTACTAGGGACGAAGGAAGATTGCTCGAGATGCAAATTCTATTAAGAAAGAAACTGAAGAAGAGAAAACAGAGGACAAATTAAAAGATGATACAGAAAATAAGGATCTAGAGGATGACTATGAAACTGCAGAGAAAAGAGAAAATGAACTACTACTGGGGAGAAAAAATACACCAAAGCAAAAAGAAAAGAAAATTAAAAAGCAAGAGGATTCTGAAGGAGACTCAGATGAAGAGGAAGAGAAGAGCCACGAGAGGTACATTATCTTGTTTGCTCTCCAGAAGCACCTGTCTGGGGTATGGCAGCACTTGTTCCTGCTTTTAGAGATTCAGGTTTGAGGGAATGTTTTCTTATTGGGACTTCCGTTCCTCTTGTCTAATGAAGGTGAGACACATTGTGAAGATGATGTGTATTGCCTTTCGGAATTGGAGAATATACTGGTCGCACCATTTTAATAGCACTTGTGCCCTAAACAGTGGCCTCAAAGAAGGCTGCGCCACCCAGTCAAAAGAAAGGTCCTGCAGTTGACAGCAGGGAAGGGAGCTGGAGAAAAATGGAGGAAGTGGACAAGAGGAAACAGCGACAGCAAAAATTCCATTTTAAAAAAGGTACAATGTGGGAAAGCTAACAAACACATGGGTGCACAGTACTAGCAGATGTTTCTGTGTGTTAGCTTTATCTAAGACATTTTTCTTTTTCAAGTTACTGTATTAGAGTAAGTGGCATGCACCCCTGATTTTAGCTTGGAAAATGCATTCTTGCCCCACATCACACCAATAAATTCCAAGTTTTTAATGTCCATCCTGTTTTCTGTTGAATGAAAACTTTTTTCCCCATGCATTAAACATGTATGGTCTGAATTGGTTTACCAATAGCCAAAGATTGAACAAGTTTAGCTAGGTCAAGATGTCTGACCGTGCTGTATAGTAGACTACTCTGTAAGTGTTGTCAAATGGATGTACTAATTTTAAAATACTACTAAAAACTCTTAAATGAGCAACAACAGCATAACACATTTAACTTGAAAATAAGCTCTCCTCCATATTTAGTTTTGGATTCTTTTACTATGAAAAGCCACGTTTTTCTGAAATTTGGGTTGTGGAGCCAAATTTGGGAAAAGTGGCCTGTTACATCTAATTAGTGTCTGATAGGACTGAGAATAAAACATTGAGATAACATTAAAAAAATAAATTATTAAATATTTAAAATTAGGAATAATTGATGAGTGGGAGAAGTAATTTGGTTCAGTATGAGTAGTTACAGGAGCTATCCTAAGGACATTTGAAGTAGGTTAGTAAAACAATGAAAGTTCTGTAGTGTAATTTAATATTTAGACAAATTTAACTAAAAAGTAGGGCTAGTATAGTTCAAGTGCAAAAAAGCATAAAAATATTATACATGGATTATAATATGTACATAATACGAAGAATGAATCTGTATACATAAATATGGTTTTAAAAGACTGTAATTGATAAGTAAATTGATAAGTAAATTGAACAAATATTTTAAAGAAGAAATTCACAGATTTGAATATGAAGAAAAATATAGCTGGGCACCACTGGTTCACATCTACAATCCCAGCTACTCAGGAGACTGAGATCTGAGGACTGCAGTTTGAACCAGCCCACACAGACAAATCCAGTAGACTCTTATCTCCAGTTAACCCATGAAAGGACAAAACTAGAGCTGTGGCTCAAATGGTAAAGTGCTAGTTGTGAGTGGAAAAGCTGAGCAAGAAGTTGAGGCTTTGAATTCAAGCCCCAGGACCAGTGTGCATTCATGTGTGCATATGTGTTCACACATGTGTGCATTCATGTGTGCACACACATACAAAATTTAGTATAGAGATAGCAAACACAGTCTGTATTTTCATTCTGTACCAGGAATCGAGGAAAGGGGAAAGACTTTATGGAGACCCTTCTGTTTTAAGTAATTTTTCTCCCCTGTGTTCTAAAATCACATTTTCAGGATAGTATCTGGAGGTATGTTTAGAGAGAAAATATCCTGTTGCAAATAGGCTATGAAAGATTCAGTTGTGTTCTCTAGGGGCCACCAAAATAATGCCCTATGTTTACTACATATTACTTTTACCTCTTAAGGTTTAACTTTTTTTTTAATGTTTGAATAATCTTTGATGGATTTCTCTTCTGAATCTTTGCAAGATTAATAGAGGATATTTTATGATAAAAATATTAAAAAACTTGTTAGACTCTCCTGTGTGAAGTTTCTTTATATTTAATTTTTGAGATAAAGAAGACGAGTAAAAAAGCAGAAAAAGCAATCAAAACAAAACATTTAAAACTTTATTCTCCTGATGGTATCCTATGGCTTCAACAAGTGACCTCATATCCAAAATATAAACTAGTTTAAATGACATATTCCTAAGGTAGATAGCCTTGTTTATTATTACTTTGCCCATCTGAAAGACTGATTTTATTAAGAACTATTCTTAGGTAAGCTGAAAGTAGCAATAAGTAGATTTAAGATAAGTTAATTGCAGACAGAAAATATTTTCAGGGCATTTTCACATATAAGGTGGCATTTAAATATGAATCCCAAAGACTTTCTTAGAACATAGTTTTTTTATCAAATGTGATTTTTTCCCCCTTTATCAGCTGTGATTATTGATATGGATTGGCTTTTGGTACAGTGCACTTTTACATCAAAAAGTCCTTCAAGTAATCCATGAAAATCTTCTCCTTCTCCTCCTTCTTCTCCTCCTCCACTGATACATTATTAAGATGATACTTAGGTTGTGAATATTCTACACGTTGGATTCTTTTAGCATTTATCATATTCTTCTCATGGAGTTATTAGTAGTATTATCAATGTTGTAACTTACTGCAGGGAAGAATCTGAAAGCAAATGTGGCTCTGAAGGAGAAGACGACGATGAGGACGCAGAGCCCTGCCTAACAGGAACCAAAGTGAAAGTCAAATATGGACGGGGGAAGACACAGAAAATTTATGAAGCCAGCATTAAAAGCACTGAAATTGATGATGGAGAAATCTTGTACTTGGTACATTACTATGGATGGAATGTCAGGTAAGCCTTTTTCTTACTGCTGGTTTTTTTTTCAATAATTTTAAAATGTCAATTTAATGTTGTAAAGAACTAAAACATATGGTGCTTGCATTTATAAAGTGTACCTTGTTATTAAAATATCCAAGACTGGAAGTGGCGCTGTAGCTCAAGTGGTAGAGCGCTCGCCTTGAGTTGAAGAGCTGAGGGACAACACCCAGGCCCAGAGTTCAAGCCCCACGACCGACAAAAAAAAAAAAAAAAACTATATAGAGCACTCAGAACCTCGGCGATTTAAAATATCCAAGACTACAGGCTGGGAAAGTGGCTCAGTGGTAGAGCACTTGCCTTGCATGCTTGAGGCCCTGGGTTCGATTCCTCAGCACCACATAAGAAAAAAAAAAGCTGGAAGTGGCGCTGTGGCTCAAGTGGTAGAGTGCTAGCCTTGGGCTGAAGAGCTGAGAGACAGCACCTAGGCCCAGAGTTCAGGCCCCACGACCGGACCAAAAAAAAAACAAAAACAAAAATAAATAAATAAAATATCCAAGACTTCGACATTTGCTTGGTTAAACAAGCTATGTCACTACATCTAGGCAAAGATGTATCTTTGGAGCAAGAACAGGTTGGTGTTTTACTCATTTACAGAAAAGGAGAACACATAACATGGACAACTGTGGGGCACTGTGGTTGCAGGGTTTCAATGAATCAATGAAAGGAACAGGGATAAGCCCATATTAGAGCAAGGCGGCCAATAGCTATCTTAGCTATACAAACGTATGTTTTGTTGCTTAGAAACTAAAATCTATGTCAAACAATAAGATAATTCCAAGTTGGCTAATTAATAAAAAAATAATGTTGAAAAGGACTTAGATTTGAGCTTCTGTTAGATGGTTTCAGGGAAGGTTTAAGTGAGGCTTTGTTCTATACTGAATATTGTCAGGATACTGAATAATTCTATTACTGGTTTCCTTAATAAGTCACAGATCAAGGTTAGCAATATAGTTGGTAAAGAACCATATTAGACTAATATTAGGAGAAAAAGAATGTCTAGTCATTTTTGTGGTTTGAACAATTTTTCTAAGTTGTTTTATCCTTCGTTTTCATTAAGGAGTGGTGTTAGTTTTGTTTTGATCCATTAAAGGACAAGATCGGACTTGCCTCATGTTGGTATTCTACTGAAATTTTTTATGTTCAAGGGAAGAAAACTCAGTCCTGCTCTGAAAGCCAGACAAACTCATAGCAACACCAAGGCCCAATTCAGGCTAATACCTGAATGGCAAGGGCTGCTTTTCTCTTTCTCTTTTTTAAAGTCTTAGGTGTCTGAAATCTTAGGTTTCCAGAGATTTACTTGGAGCCATATTGCCCCATAGTATCTATGTACTTGATGTGTGTTGTGTGGTGACTCAATTTATCCCTAAATTAGGCAAAATACCGTAGAGATATTATGAAATAATGAAAATACCTGTACTGATGTGTAAAGTCTGTGAGTGGGCACTTTGCCTGAGCTCTTTTTGCTTAAGGGTAGTCCTCTATTACTTTGAACCACAGTTCCATTTCCAGTTTTCTGGTGTTTGACTGGAGACAAGAGTCTCGCAGACTTTCCTCTCCACGCTGGCTTTGAACAGTGATCCTCAGATCTCAGCCTCCTGAGTAGTTAGGATTACAAGCTACCCAGCAAGTGTAAAGTCTTTAGAATAAGGCTGTCACTTAGTAGTAAGTCCTCAATGAGTAATAACCGTTTCTTTATCTGGCATCATTTTAAAGTTTATAAAACTCATAAAATTTGTTCCTCTTCACCATATCTGGTTTAATTCAGGGAGAGAAGGCTATTTACCAACTTGGAGTCACTATATTTACGGTTGATGTACATTATAACCATCTTTTCTTCTCAGATGCTATTTAGTTAACCATTTCTCTGCTGGGTGTCTCTATCCTGCATGCTTAAGTTTCTCCTTCCCATCATCTTTCTTACCTGTGTGTATATATGTATGTGTAAATTTATATATTGTAATCTACATATTTATATATTTATAATGTGTATTTTGGGGGCAGTTTCGGAATTTAAATTCCAGGCTTTGAGCTCACTCAGCTTGCTCGCTCATAGCTGGTGCTCTATACTCTAGCCATGTCTTTAACACAGCTTTTTGTTGGTTATTTTGTAGATCTAATGTATTGTGAGTCAGCCACCTGAGTAGCTAGCATTATAGGCATTAGCCATTGGTGCCTGGCATATCCTTATATTTTTGAGATTTTACTTTTATGACTCTAATAGTTATTATATTCTCAGGTTTTCTTGCTAATTACCTACTTGATTTTTTACATAGATGATCTGTCATTGTCCTTCTGTATTCTTAAGACCTGGTATAATTCTAGTATACTCATTAAGGCTCATGTAGTCCCTAGGGAATTTACTAGATTTCCAAAATGGGAACAGTCTGCAAATGTGAAGCAGAGTCTTGGGATCCAGTTTGGAATTTCCAGGACCACTCTTGGTTGAGAATATTAGTGCTACAAGTACTTGCATATAGTACACCACTTAAATTGGGCCAGGATGGTGTGCTTCAAGTTGCTCTAGTTTAAAGCTGTGTTTCTTGGTGAGCTGAGGTATCCTGAGAAGTGTTGTAATATGAAGTTACTTTTTTATTAGCCATATAACAAGCATATAACTTTGTTGCCACATTTAGATTATTCTTGATTTTGCTGTCAATCTTTATTACCAAACTAAGTTTTACAAGAGCAAGACCTATTCTCTCTATTCTTTCCCTACATCTTTATAGAGTGCCTAGTATACTTTGAGGCCCTCAATAAGGGTCCAAATGAATGAATATTTATAGATAAGCTAATAAAGTACAGATACTAAGAAGTCTGTTACAGTGCTTATACCAAGTCCTGTTTCTAAAGTTTAGCTCTTGGGTTAATCTAGGAGTATTTTTTGAGCTATGGTGTAGGTTTTATAGTACCATCACAACTGAAACTTGCATATTGGAGCCATGTTTACAAAGCAAGGACATGGTTTCTAAATACCTGAATTTATTAACACAGTTACAGTGTAAAGTGAAGAATGCCTGTAGTTTTAAGTATTCAGATCATAAAGTTTTATGGAATTCTATAAATATTTTATATATTATGTAACATAACTGATGTTATAGTTGTAGAAAAGTTAATTCTTTGTCTATAGAGACTTCAACTGATTATATTGAAATTCAAAAGTGATATTAGGCTTTTTTTTATAAGTTTTTATTCTGAGATAGTGATACGGTCACAAACACATTCTAACCTTCATGAGGCAAATTGTCATTATTGTGATCTATAAAGTTTGTGAATTCTATGAGCTTTGATAATACAACAATTTCTTCCACATTTGGTGGTATGTACATTTCTTTCCTTTTGCTTAGTGTAAGCTGTTCCCTCTTTCCCTCTCATTCCCTCCCTCCCATCGATGTTAGTCTTTTGGAAAAGGGTTACAGTGGAAATTAGCCTTCAATTTGGGCTAAAAAAAATAAACTTACAGAAAGAAACACACACACACACACACACACACACAAACCTTCAGTCTTAAAAATGGTTATTTTTCAAGGACACAGGCATAGCTCAATAGTACTTGCTTAGCTAGTGTGAGGACCTGAACTTGCTCCACTGCACCATGGTATATAAAAAAAAAAAAAGTGGCCTGTGGTAGTGAAAAGTCTGTAGAAAAGTGAGGGAAACCAAACCCCTTTCTACACAATTAAAGAAAAAAAAAAGTGGCATGGTTCAGAGTAAAATTTTATTCAAAATACTAGAGGATAAGCTGTGTTTCAGTGGTTTATGCTGGTATCCTAGCTACTTAAAAGGCTGAGATTTGGAGGATCAAGATTTGAAGCCAGCCTAGGGAAGAAAAGCTCTTGAGACTCCATCCCCAAGTATCTTGTAAAAAGCCCGAAGAGGCAGTATGGTTCAGGTGGTATAAAGTGCCATCCCCAAATGTTCAAGCCCTACCACCAGCACCATAAATGGATGAATGAATGCATGAAAGTAAAACAAAACAACTTGTGAGAGGCTAGAAAAAGTTTGTAGAGGAAAGAAAATGTCAAAGGAATTGATAAAACAATCTGGAACTGATCATATAGCAAATACCTGACTTACTTTTATTATTCATTAAATAGAATGAATTCTAGTATAGAATTTGCTTGTAAGCCTAGATCTTTTGTAGAAAACAAAGCAGTGCAAGTAGTTTTAAATCTTAAGTGTTTGCTTACCCATGTTTCTAAACCTGCTAACTTGAATTCTCTTGTTATTTCCCATGGATGGTAGGTATGAAGCACCTGGTACAGTTGCTGGTATATATTACCAGCTAACCAATCCTGTGTCCTTTACTTTTCTTCCAACACAACAAAAAGGGACAGATTTTCATCTAGCTCACTGTGATTTTTTGTTTGGTCAATATATTTCAAATAGTGTATCATTGTGAAATTTTAAATTTTTCTTTATTTTAAGGTATGATGAATGGGTGAAGGCTGACAGGATAATTTGGCCTTTGGACAAAGGTGGACCAAAGAAAAAACAAAAGAAGAAAGCAAAAGTATGTTCAGATATTATGTAATTGGTGATAGGTATAGGAATTATTCACATTGTATTATATCGACATAATTTTTAGAGCTTTTCAACATTTACAACAAAATAGAGAAGGTACCAAGATTTCCCATATACCCTGTGCCCCATAAATCTGTAGTCTATCCCATTTTCTTATCCTTCACCATCTGACTCCCACCTTAGTGGTTCAGTTGTTATAGTTGATGAACTCACACTGATAATCAGAGTCCACAGGTTACATCAGGATGGTGTATGCTGTGAAAGTACAGCACAATTCTAGGTCTGTTGTACCTTATGTGAGTTTGGATAAGTGGTTCATTATTAGAAAAATGTTCTATGCTCAGCCAGATCTGGATCCCACCTCTACCACACTCCACAGATTTTTGGCAACCACTGTTTTTTTTTTTTTGGTTGGTTGTAGGGCATGAACTCTGGGCTTGGGTGCTATCCCTGTGCTGTTCAGCTCAAGGTGAGGGCTCTACCGCTTGAGCCACAGCACCACTTTCAGTTTTCTAGTGGTTAACTGGAGATGAGTCTCATGGACTTTTCTGCCCAAGCTGGCTTTGAACCATCATCCTCAGATCTCAGCCTCCTCAGTAGCTAGGATTACAGGTGTGAGCCACTGGTGCTCGGCATCTGATTTCATTTTTAATTGCCTCCATTACTTTACTTTTCCAGAATGTCATATAGTTAGTCTCATATATCATTTACAATTGGCTTCTTTTACTTAGTAATATTTATTTAAGGTACTGAGGAAGTTATATTTAAATAAATATTTTCTGGGGGGCTGGGAAGGTGGCTTAGTGGTAGAGCGCTTGCCTTGCATGCCTGAGGCCCTGGGTTCGATTCCTCAGCACCACATAAGCAAAAAGAAAAAAGCTGGAAGTGGCGTTGTGGCTCAAGTGTTAGAGCGCTAGCCTTGAGCTGAAGAGCTGAGGGACAGCGCCCAAGCTCAGGGTTCCGGCCCCACGACCGGACCCAAAAAAATAATAAATAAATAAATAAATAAATATTTTCTGTAATCACCTTGATTCTTATAAGATAGTTATGGGTTTGGTTTTTTTTTTGCCCGTCTTGGGACTTGAACTCAGGTTCCGGGCACTGTCCCTGAGCTTCTTTTGCTCAAGGTTAGTACTCTACCATTTGAGCCACAGCGCTACTTAACAGCTTTTTCTGTTTATGTAGAACTAAGGAATCGAACCCAGGGCTTCGTGCATGCTAGACAAGCAGTCTACCACTAAGCCACATTCCCAGCCCAGTTGGGATTTGTTTGTTTTTTTGTTGGTGTGGGGCTTGAACTTGACCTGGGAGCTATCCCTCAGCTCTTCAGCTCAAAGTGAATGTTCTACTACTTGAGCCACAGCACCACTTCTGGTTTCCTGGACTTCCATGCTGGGGTGACTTGTATCCACAATCCTCAGATCTTAGCCCCCTGAGTAGCTAGGATTACAGGCGTGAGGCACCAATGCCCCGTGATATTTTTTAATGTTGCAACCCAGGAACTAGAATAGTAAAAGTGTAAGACACATTATCACACTGAATCATGGAAAGGTAAAAACCAACAACCCTCCAGGTATAAGTTTCAATTTCAAATGTCTAGAGCTTTTCAGAAAAGAGGTAAAGTTAAGACTATAGATTCTAGTAAGTATCTTACTAGAGAGAGTAGAAATAACTACTCTGTTGTGGGAGTGCTGACTCAGGGTTATCAGACTCCAGAATTTTTTTTTCAGTATCTTTGTATTTTTAAAAATGTGAAATTGATTTTGAAATACTAGAAGTTAATACTAAAAAATATAGAACTTTTCTGTTGACCAGTTGTTCCTTCATTCATACCTTTGAGCTCCAACATTTGCTGTAGCATTGTGCCTGGTGTTTTGTTATTATTGACATCTTTCATTTCCTTAAAGATAAGAAGAAATATGGGGGCCGAGGGGTGCCTGGGTAGTTGTACAGTTTTCTAATGTACTATTTTGGTAGAAAATAGTTGCAGTGTAGGAATCATATGAATAGTCTTACAAAAAACTATTCTTGCTTTTTCTATAACTAGAAATTGAATTAACATTTAAAATAACCTTTTGTTTTTTAATTATAGTTTTCTTGGGGAAGGAAAATGTTTAGTTTTTACAAGGCATTGACCCTTCTCATGCATTTTGTTGTTACCCAGAATAAAGAAGATAGTGAAAAGGACGAAAAGAAGGATGAAGAGAGGCAGAAATCCAAACGTGGACGACCTCCTTTAAAATCTGCCCTTTCATCAAACATACCTTACAGTTTATCTAAGACAACAAACAGTGAAGGAAAATCAGGTACCAGAAATGCTTAAACTTAGAGCAATTTGCTAGAGAGCTCACCTCTATTGTGTGGAACGGGAAGATGATCAGTTTTGAGGATCACTGACTTTTAAAAACTATATGTGTGTGTACATCACTCATCTGTGGTGATTCATTCTGAGAATCATTGTTAAAACAGCATCAAGTGTACTTAAAGATATTATGTGACAAGGGGATGTAATCTTATAGTACTACTGTCACCGATGTTTTCAAGGAAAACATTGATATGTGATCAATTAAACTACCAGTTTCTGAGAGTCCTAGTAGATCATTATATTGTTTAATCTCATATGAATTAGACTACAAATTTTAACTTGAAGCTTTCTTTTTCCTGGGTTGTGGGGCTTGAACTCAGGGCCTGGGCACTATTCCTGAGCTCTTTGCTCAATGCTAGTATGCTACCACTTTGAGCCACAGCTCTACTTCTGGTTTTCTGATAGTTAATTAGAGATAAGAGTCTCACAGACTTTCCTACCTGGGCTGACTCTGAACAGTGATCCTTGGATCTTAGCCTTCTGAGTAGCTAGAATTACAAGTGTGAGCCTCTAGTGCCCAGCTTGAAGCTAATTTTGTTTAGCTGTATATTTTTATTTAAATTTTAACCTAGGAATATTTTTTTCATGTAATGTATGTGAGGAATGTTCTATTGTAATTTTTGGATGCTTAATTGGATATAAGTCTCATGGACTTTCCTGTTTGGGCTAGCTTTGAACTGAGATGCTCAGATCTTACCCTTCTGAGTAGCTAAAGATACAGGCATTAGCCATTGGCACCTGGCAACCATGTTTCTTGTAAATTTAGTGCTGTTCACCTGAGATCTTATAACAAAGCTGAGACTGTTGTTCAGAGAGCACAAAGGCACGTTTTGTGATGAATATAGGTAAACATATTTTATTCTGCTTTCACTCATTTCTCCGACTTTGGTATCTTTGCGTTTTTCCATGTAATTTAAGAAATAGTTAAGTAGTTACCTTGTAAAATTTCCTTCCCTGTAAGAGAAACTTTATTCTTATTACAGATTTTCCTACAGTCCATTTGGGGTGTGTATATAGATTATAGGGTATGAACCTTCCTTTTACTGTCATTTGCTGGAAGGTTGTCATATTATTCAGATGTGAAAGGTAGACTTCTTAATGGTATGCCCTTGTGCTATGTATGACATATAGAATTATACATGTATGTATGACATGTAGAATTATATTAGCCATCTTATTAAACTGCCCTATAAAAGTTATAAAAGGTGAGAAATGTGGATTCTATATTCTGTTTATGTTAGAACGATAAAAGAAAACTACATATCTTATGTAAAACTATACATGCCTTTTCACTTAAAGACAGATTATTTGCCTTTATGATTTCTTTAGAATATGAACACCATATGAGCAGAACTTGGTCAGTTTGTGGGGCTTGAACTCTGTCCTGAGCGCTTCAGATAAGGCTAGAGCTCTACCACTTGAGCCACAGTGCCACTTCTGGTTTTCTATGCTTTATTAAAGATGAGTCTCATGGGCTTTTTTGCCTGGGTTGGCTTTGAACCATGATCCTCAGATCTCAGCCTCCTGAGTAGCTAGGATTACAGGCATGAGCCACTGGCACCCAGCTTTTATTCTTTTTTTTTTTTTTTTTAGAACTTTTGTATTAAAAAAATTTTTTTTACAGTGTTAGAACTCTTCTTATTATTTAAAAAACTCTGACATAAGGAGAATAATTTCTTTTTACGAGCATGTGGCTTACCTGTAATCTGTGTGTGTGTGTGTATATACATGTGTACATGCACGCACACACATGCTAATAATAGGGCTTAAACACTCTTGCTTAGCTTTTTCCACTCAAGGCTGAAGCTCTACCTCTTGAGATACCTCTATTTCTGGCTTTTTTTTTTTAGTTAATTAGAGGTAAGAGTCTGTTGCTTTTGGATTTGTCTCCCTGAGCTACCTTCTAACTGGAATCCTCAGAGTTCAGCCTCTGAGTAGTTAGGATTACAAGCTGTCTGGCTTTGTCTGTACTTGTCTGTTAGTAAAAAGTTTTGAAAATTCACATTGTTCATTTTACCCATCTCTTCTTTCCAGAATAATTTTAGATGGAATATCACAAAATGGTCAACATGTCTTCTAGATCTTAATTAAAATCACCTAACACATTAATTTCATATTTCAGTATTAATCCTTGATTTTGTATAAATTTTGTGGTAGCCTAAATATGATGCCAATTAAAATCACAAATAATGCTGGATGCCAGTGACTCAAACTTATAATCCTGGCTACCAAAGAGGCTGAGATCTAAGGATCATAGTTTGAAGCTAGCCTAGACAGGAAAGTCTGTGAGACTTCTCTCCAGTTATCCACCCCAAAAACCACAAGTGGATCTATGGCTCAAGTGACACTAGCCTTGAACAAAATTGCCCAAGGTCAGTGCCTGGCCCCAAGTTTAAACCCCAAGAACCAACCTCCCCCCACCCCCCAGACATACACAGAAATTTAGAAATAGTTTTTCATTCCAAATTGAGATCAAATTATGTCATATAATCTATGTCACATATTTTCATTTGAAGTTTCCCTAACATTTTGGCACAAATGTTATACCGTATTTTATATAGCAGATTCCTATAGAAATATGCAAAAGTAAATGATTAAGGATTTTGCTTATATTTGGTAGTATTTTGACATTTAACATTTCACTGATTATTAATATATATTTCTGCATAATATATTTTCTCTTTCAGACTCTTTTTCATCTGATAGTGAAACAGAAGACCCTTTAGAAAAGAATTTGATAAATGAAGAACTTTCTCTTGATATTAAAGAAGAAATAGAAAAAAATGACAGTTTATGTGATGACAAACTAGATGAAGAACATCCAAAGATTGTACATAATTTAAAGGAAAATGATAGGATTCAAATGCAGCCCTTGGAAACCATGAAGTTAGAAGTTGCAGAGAATGAGCAAATAGTACAAATTTTTGGAAACAAAGTAGAACAAGAAGAACTTAAGAAAGAGGCAGAAAAATCTCCTAAAGGAAAGGGAAGACGAAGCAAGGCAAAAGATCTTTCTTTAGAAATTATAAAGATTTCATCATTTAGCCAAGATGATGCAGGAAGTGAACCTCACATAGAAGCACATAGTCTTGAATTTTCTTCATTAGAAAGTAAGAACTTTTCTTCAGCTACAGAAGATGAAATTGACCAATATGGAAAAGAAAAAAAGTTGAAACGGAAACTCATAGGACAGTCATCACCAGAGAAAAAAATAAGAATTGAAAATGGAACGGAGATGACAAATAATGTATCTCAAGAAAGGACCAGTGATTGTCTTGGCTCTGAGGGAGTAAATAACTTAAACTTTGAACAGCACTTTGAAACCGAAAATGAAGGAATGCCATCATTAATAGCAGAGTCAAATCAGTGCATCCAAGAACTGACCAGTGAAAAATTGGATAGTCCAGCTGAAGAAATTGTAAATACTTCACTAAAAGAAGAGGAGGATGCAATGCCCCTGATTGGGCCTGAAACCTTGGTTTGCCATGAAGTAGACTTGGATGATTTAGATGAAAAGGATAAGACCAATATGGAGGATGTAGTAGTTGAAAGCTCTGAGTCGAACTCGCTTGTTTCTATTCCACCCACTTTGCCTCCTGTAGTGCATAACTTTTCAGTAGCTTCACCTCTTACTCTTAGTCAAGATGAGTCTCGAAGTGTGAAAAGTGAGAGTGACATAACAATTGAGGTTGATAGCATTGCTGAAGAATCTCAGGAAGGCCTTTGTGAGAGGGAATCAGCAAATGGGTTTGAAGCCAGCATTGCCCCTAGTACCTGTAGTATAATTGTACAAGAAAGAGAAAGCAGAGAGAAAGGTAAGACTTTCTCAGGGGGGAAAAAGCATTAAAATTATGGAAATATGTTAATGCTAAAATTCATATTAAGAAACTTGGTTATTGCTGATTTTTGAGTAGTGTCTTTTTAAAAATGTGTATATAGAAATATAGACTAGGCAGATACATCTGAATATACATGTAAATTCATACTTACCTGTTCTTCTTTTGTTTTGTTTTTTTACATTCTCTTCCTTTATTTCAGGTCAGAAAAGACCAAGTGATGGACATAGTGGATTAATGGCAAAAAAACAAAAGCGAACTCCAAAGCGAACAAGTGCTGTAACCAAAAATGAAAAGAATGGAGCAGGTTGGTGACTTTCAAATGCTAACTTTCGTAATATGATAGTAATTTTAGCCGTTTAGAAGCAATAACAGAAATTCCCATAAAAAATGCATACTATGAATCTAATCATGACGAAGCATCCACAAATTCAGACTAAATTTAGATTCTATATAAAATAACTGGCTTGTAATTTTCAAAATCACCAAAGTCATAAGCATAAGGAAGGAGGAAATGGTCTAGATTGAAGTGACAACTAAATGTAGCACATGATTTTCACCTGGATCCTTCCTACTGCCATATTGTCTGATCAAGTGAAGATCTCAGGATTAAATGATAGCAATATAACTGTGCTAATTGCCTAGTATTTATGGCTATATTATGATTTTTTTAGGGATGTGGTGGTTTAAAAAAAATCCAGTCAAGTGCCTGTGTCTCTAGCTGCTCAGGAAGCTGAGATCTGAGGATCACCATTCAAAGCCAGCCTAGGCAGGAAAGTCCAAGAGACCATTATTTCCAATTAATCACTAGAAAACTGGAAGTGGCGCTGTGGCTCAAGTGGTAGAGTGCTAGCCTTGCACTGAAGAGCTGTGGGACAGTGCCTAGGCCTAGAGTTCAAGCCCCACGACAGACAAAAAAAAAAAAAAATAATAATAATAATCCATCAGGGTGCCATTGGCTCATGCCTATAATCCTAGCTACTCAGGAGGCTGCGTTCAAAGCCAGCTCAGACAGGAAAGTCCATGAGACTTTTTTTTTTTCAACTGTCAGAAAAAGCCAGAAGTAGTGCTATGGCTCAAGTGGTAGCTAAAAGGAGCTCGAGGACAGTGGCCAGGCCCAGAGTTCAAGCCCCAAGACTAACAAAAAACAAAACAAAACAAAATTCACAACTTTATTGATACTTAATTGTTCAAGAATCAGAGCCTAATTTCCCTGAACTTAGTGACCGACTTCGAATAAAGTGGAAGTAATGATGCATGGAGAATAAGTCATGAAATGTCCCACAAATTCTTCCTTGTTCTCCACTGGGAGTTGCCATGTTGTGAGGTATTAAAAGTAGATATTCTATGGAGAGTTCACTGAGTGAAGAACTGAGGTCATCCTGCCAACAGCCAGCAAGAAACTGAGGCTGTTAGAAATATAATTTGGAGAAAGTTGAATTACAGGTACAAAATCTGAGGAAAATAGGGTTTGGAGCTTAGAAGAAAGACTTTTAGAAGATAGTTGTTGCAGGATTGTAAGAGGATGGCGTTGCAATGGAAGAGTTGTAAAAATGAGAAAATAGAATTATGTGTGATAACCCCTTATATGGGCTAGAAAAACCTGGGCAGAGTCAAACAGAAAGTGTGAACATGGAATGGATTTAGATTAGAAAGACACTTCAAATGCTATTGAATTTGGTCCATGGTAAGAGTTCGTGACCCTATACATCTATATATTTTTAGAAAATGAGTGTGGGCTGAATAAGACATGAAATTCCAGCACTTGATGAGTCTGTGCTGCATAGCAACCCCCTTAAAAAAATGTTTGGTAGCCAGGTACTGGTGGCTCATGCCTGTAATCCTAGCTAGTTAGGAGACTGAGATCTGAGGATCATGGTTCAAAGCCAATCTGGGCAGGAAAGTTCATGAGACTCTTATCTCCAATTAATTACCAGAAAACTGGAAGTGGAGCTGTGGCTCAAAGTGGTAGAGCACTTGTCTTGAGCCAAAGAGCCCAGGCCCTGACCCCCAAGCCCTATGACCTACAAAAATGTTTATTTGGGAGTACCTATGTAAAAATTTTTGTTTCTGTGTGATTCTAAAAGCATAGTTTTTTTAAAAACCTTTTTTGGATTTTTTTATGCATTGTCTTAAACATAAATAGAACAATATAGTATATTGCTTGTTTTATATCCTTGTTTTTCATTTGACAATATATAGATACTATTTTTGTTCTAGCTCATTCTTTTTAACTACTTAAGCAAAAGATTCAGTAATTTTTTTTTTTACTCATTTTATTTTGGGGAGCATTCCAGTTCTTTTTTTCTCTTCTGTTACAAACTGTGCATTTATGCATTTTTTCTTTATGATACCAACAAGTGTAATTACTGGGTCTATTGCATTTTCATTTTTGAGGTTTTTTATCATTTATAATCTCTTAGTAAAATTATTATTATTATTACTACAGGACAAAGCAGTGATAGTGAAGATCTTCCTGCAGTAGATAATTCTAGTAAATGTACTCCAATGAAGCATATTACTGTATCTAAGCCACAGAAACTTGCACGATCCCCAGCAAGAATCTCGCCTAACATCAAAGATGGAGAAAAAGAAAAACACAGAGAAAAACATCCAAATTCATCCCCTAGGACATATAAGTGGAGTTTTCAACTCAGTAAGAAGCTTATAGATAATCTGAATATATATTATAGAATCTTTTCTTTTTTTTTCCTTCCTTCCTTCCTTCCTTCCTTCCTTCCTTCCTTCCTTCCTTCCTTCCTTCCTTCCTTCCTTCCTTCTTTCCTTCCTTCTTTCCTTCCTTCCTTCCTTTTTTGGCGCTGATATGGTTCTGGGGTTTGAACTCAGGGCCTCATATTCTCTTTTAGCATTTTCCCGCTCAAGGCTGGCACTTCTACTACTTGAGCCACACCCTGCATATGTACTGTAAAGTAGAACCTATCTTAAATGTGAACTTAGATTAATAGTAATAATGTTAACAAATTAGGTATTTCAAATTAATAATTGCCTTTATTTTCTTAAATACAAATCGGCATCTTTTCATAACACTAACTTGACAAATAGTGACAAGAAAATCTCTTAAGGAGGAAGACATGAGTGAAGGAAGGGGTGATATTGTCAAAAAAGAAGAAATGTGCTCATTACCTGACTTATAAAATGGCAACCCCTCTATACAACACCTTAGTAATAACAATAAAATTACATTTTTTTAAAAAAAGAAGGAAGACATAGGCTTGACATGGTGAGACATATTGTATTCCCAGAATTTGGATGGCTAAGGCAGGAGAATTGTGAATTCTTGGCCAGCCTGGTTTACATAGTAAGTCTTTGTCTCAAAAAAACAAAAAAAAACCCACTTGTTTGATTTATTCAATCAATGAGAGTTAAGTGCCCTTTGTAACACTGACAGAAGTAAAAGTAAGTAATATTTACAATTATAGGTCAGGGATGCTTTATAATTAGTATTTCTTATGTTTTGGTGATCATTTAAATAATATGTGTTTAATATAGAAAATTCAGTATTTCTTTTAAGAACTGTTTTTTTGAGAAAGGGTTGTGCTATGTTATGCTGTGTCTCACTTCCTTACAGGCATGCACCACCATACCCAACTATAGAGAATTTATCTACTTATTTATTCATTTGGTTTACGTGGTGGTACTGGGGTTTGAACTCTCAGAGCCTCAGGCTTGCCAGACAGATGTTCTACCACTTAAGTCATGTCTTCTTTGTCTAAAGCATTTTATTATAGGTGTAATCATAGCACTTGGGAGGCTGGAGCAGAAAGATCATGAGTTTGAGGCTAATTTGTGATACACAGAAAGTTCTAGTCAAGCTTGGGCTACATAACAAGCAAGACATTGTCTCAACAAAATGACATAAGTAAGAAAGCCAGGAGTTTTAATATCCCAGCAATCAGGAGGCTGAGATGGGAAGATTGTGAGATTGAGGACAGCCTGAACTATATTGTATGGCAGGACCTTGCTCAAGAACCAAAAGTTAAAAAACAGAATAAGAATTAGAAGTGTGGCTCAAGTGATAGAGTACCAGCATAAGCAAAACAAGCTGAATGACACTGCAGGGGCCCTGCAGTTAAGCGCTGGTAGTGGCACAAAAAAGTAAAAAACACTTTTTATTTACCTGAACATGGTAGGCTTTAATAAACTAAAGCTTTTGGTAATTTATGAGTTAGATTTGTTTTGTAGTCCTGCCATCATTTTTCTTCATAGAATTAATTTTAAATCTATGTGTTTTTTTTTCTCTTTTAGATGAATTAGATAATATGACCAGTACAGAGAGAATATCTTTTCTCCAAGAAAAACTCCAGGAAATCAGAAAATACTACATGTCTTTGAAGTCTGAAGTTGCAACCATAGACAGGAGGAGAAAAAGATTAAAAAAGAAAGACAGAGAAGGTAATTTTATTAAATGTTCTTCCATTTTTCAAATATGCATCCTATCATTTGTTTTTTACTCTCTGAACATATGCATTCTGTAATTGTTGCTTTTATTTATTTATTTATTTATTTTTGGGTCCGGTTATGGGGCCTGAACTCTGGGCCTGGGCGCTGTCCCTCAGCTCTTCAGCTCAAGGCTAGCGCTCTACCACTTGAGCCACAGTGCCACTTCCGGCTTTTTTCTTTTTGCTTATGTGGTGCTGAGGAATTGAACCCAGGGCCTCAGGCATGCAAGGCAAGCACTCTACCACTGAGCCACCTTCCCAGCCCCTGTAATTGTTGCTTTTATATATCTAGTGGCTTCTTCTCTATTACTGTTGTTGAATGAGCTAGTCACCAACGGAATTAATCAAGAATGAGATTCTTAAAAAGGGAGTATGAACTCTTACAATTTAAGATTTTACTAAATATCCTGAGTTCTCCAAAAGAGCTTACTCCTTCTGAAATTTATACTTTGCCCCAAAAATTTCTTTATTGACTACCTATTCACCTACATTATTACCAAGAAGTTTGCCAAAATGAATTAAAGTTATAGTCAATACTGTCTTGTTGGTAGAATATTATTCAGCCACAAAAAAGAATGAAACATGCCATTTGCAGGGAAATGAATGGTTCTGGAAACCACTCGTGTTAAGCAAAGTAAGCCAGATTATAAGGACAATGGTCACATGTTTTCTCTCCTGTGGATGCTAGACCTAAAAGATAAACATGTATCTAAACATATGCATCTACTGAAATATATCATATATCATATATCCTATATAAAATCAACCTGATTATGAGTTACGCATTTGGGAGATATCATGGTGAAGTCTCTTGGAGCTATTAACATCCACTTAACAATAATGAGTATTAGAAAGCTGAAACATTTCCTGTCTTGGGTATAGGTGTGAGGGGGAAAAGGGACAGGTGAACAGAGAGTGAAGGAGAGCAGATATGGTCTTTGTGTGTACATGCATGAAAATGAACAATAAAGCTTGCTGAGACTGCTCTGGGAGGTGGGGGAGTAAGGAGAATGATGTCTCAAGAGGATAACTCTAATCAGTATGCATTATATACATAAATGGACATGTTAAAATGAAACCTGATTGTCACCTAATTGATGCTATTTTTTTTTGTTGCTCGTGGGGCTTGAACTCTGGGCCTAGGTGCTGTCTCTCAGCTCTTCAGCTCAAGATGAGCACTCTGTCACTTGAACCACAGTGCCAACTTTTGGTTAATTGGAGATAAGAGTCTTATGGACTTTCCTGCCCAGGCTAGCTTTGAACCACAATCCTCAGATCTCAGCCTTTGAGCCATGATTCTCAGATCTCAGCCTTCTGAGTAGCTAGGATTACAGGCATGAGCCACTGACGCTGGGCTTGATGCTAATATTTTTTTAAAAAGATTATTTGGAGTGCAAGAAGTACTGAGGACCATGGCCCAAGTAGTAGACTATTTCCCTAGCGAGCACAAAGCCTTGGGTTCAAACTCCAGTATCATTAAAACAGAAAATGATTACCTTGTTGGGAGCAAAATTTATTTCCTTAGCAACTATAGCATAATTTAATGGGGCTTAACATTAATGAGCATGTACCATGTGCCAGGTACTCTGCTAGGTAGTGGATACAGAAATGCATTCGACAGTAAACTTTGACCTCAAGTGTCTTTATACCTATAAGACAGTGGAGCCCTGAATGATGTTAATCCATCTAGGATTTAATGCAAGGAGAGCTATAGAGGAAACATGGAGAAGTAGTGCCTAAGGTAGCCCTTAAAAATGTGTATGATTGCTGGGCATTGGTGGCTCATACCTGTAATCCTGGTTACTCAGGAGGTTGAGATCTGAGGATCATGGTTCAAAGCCAGCCCAGGCAGGAAAGTTTGTGAAATTCTTTTTTTTTTTTTTGGGTCCAGTCGTGGGGCCTGAACTCTGGGCCTGGGCACTGTCCCTCAGCTCTTCAGCTCAAGGCTAGCACTCTACCACTTGAGCCACAGCGCCACTTCTGGCTTTTTTCTTTTTGCTTATGTGGTGCTGAGGAATCGAACCCAGGGCCTCAGGCATGCAAAGCAAGCCTGCTCTACCACTGAGCCACCTTCCCAGCCCAAGTTTGTGAAATTCTTATCCCTAATTAACCAGAAGTGGAACTGTGGTTCAGAGTGTTAGAATGCTAGCCTTGAGCAAAAAAGATTAGGGACAGCTCAGGCCCTGAATTCAGAATTTCTAGTTAAATTCTAGTTAAATATTCGCTGTATCCCTAAACTCCACTAAAATAACAATAATAGACGTTAAAAGTACTATGCCCCTAACTCAAATTAAAACAAGGACAAATATTATATGCCAGTGTAATTATAGATAAAATTAGTCTCAAAGCTGACATCAATTGCTAAAAAGAATGAGGAGAAAAAAAAGAGATTTTATATGTTGCTTATGACAAAAACAAGTTGATACTACTATTTTGGAGAAAATATGTAATTAGCACAGTAATTACATTTATCAGTTTATCCTTCAGGCCTAGAGAAATTCTTGTACCTGTGACCAAGAATTATACAAAAGTATTCTTTAAAGCACTATATTGAAATAGAGGAAAATGGAAAATAACTTGTTTTTATAAATAAGGGATGGATGAATAAATGGCGCTTTAGTTGTTAAATAAATTAAAACCCTCTACCAACAAAGAAAAGAAAATGAGGCAGCTGACCATAACAAACACTAAATGTCCACAGCATTTCTTTTGGAAGTTGAGCAGCTGGTAGACTGTTTTAACTGTAGTAGTAGATGAGGTAATGATAAGTGGTAGAGTGCTAGCCTTGAGCAAAAAAGATCAGAGACAGCCCAGGCCCTGGGTCAAAGTCTTGCTTGTACTTGCAGTAGAAAAAAATCAGAGAAAAACAAATTGGTACTATATGATTCAAGAAAAACTCAGAAAATAGGATATGGGGGCCAAAATCTGAGGATTGCAGTTCAAAGCCAGTATAGAGTCCATCAGACTCTCTCCTCAAATTAACCAGCAAAAAGCTAGAAGTGGAGCTGGAGAGCTCAAGTGGTAGAGCGCTATCCTTGAGCATAAAAAGCTGAGAGATAGTACCCAGGTCTTGACCCTGGGGTCAAGCCCCAGGACTGGCACAAATAAAAATAGAGAGATTGGTTGAAAAAGAATAGAAGGATAAAGTGACCCTCTCTTCTTTCCTTAAAAAGCAAGGTTATGTCTTTCTCTAACCTTTACGGAAAACTAACTGAACTGAACATAGGTAGAATCAGTAGGCTACAGGCCTAGGGAGACAAACCATAGCAAAGGTAAAAATTAAATGTTAAACCGAAACAATAGGTTGGGGTAAATGCTAAGACTCTCCTGTGGCTCTTCCAACTCAAGATCTAATCTTAACTTTCTGAAAGCTGCTGCCAAGTTTCCGCTTACTCCTAGGACGGGGAGAATTCTTTTGCTTAAAGCTAGCACTGTACCACTTGAGCTATCACATCACTTCCTGCTTTTCCTGAGTAGCTTATTGAAAACCAGAGTCTTAGGGACTTTCCTGTCCGGGCTGGCTTCCAACCATTATCCTCAGATCTCATCAGCCTCCTGAGTAGTTGGATTACAGGTGTGAGCTATTGGTACCAACAAAAACCCATTTGGTTTTTTTTTTGTTTTCTTTTTTTGGTGATGTGGCTTGAACTCATGGATTGGGCGCTGTTCCTGAGTTCTTGGATTCAAATCTAGCACTCTACCACTTTGAGCCACAGCTCTACTTCCAGTTTTTGAGTTGTTATTTAGAGATTAAGAGTCTCACGGACCTTGATGCCTGGGCTGGCTTTGAACCACAATCCTCAGATCTCACCCTCCTGAGTAGCTAGTATTACATGCATGAGCTACCAGCACCTAGTAAAAACATGGTTTTTTGTTGATAGTGGTGCTTGAACTCCGGCCTGAATGCTGTCTCTTAGCTTTTTCACTCAAGGCTGGCATTCTACCACTTGAGCTACAGCTCTACTTCTGGCTTTTCTTGTGGTTAATTGGAAAAAGGAGTATCACCAACTTCTGTCGAAGCAGACTTCAGTGATCCTTGCTCAGATTGCATCCTCCTGAGTAGCTAGGATTATGGGAGTGAGCCACTGGTGCCCTGCTCATTTATTCTTTTATTTTTGAGACACCTTTTAGGAGCACTTCCTTGCTTGTTCTGTTATAATCCCTGAGCTGTTGATTTCCAGCATGCCATGCAATGCTTATCCTATTTTCCTACATGACCCCTATCCTTCACATGGGGAGTGTACAAATGAAAATTCTGTTTCTTGAAAGCTGCCACCATGTTTATGAGTACTCACTCTAGAAATCGTATGGTCCAAAAGTTGTATTGCCTAGCAAGATCTTTTTGTTTTTATCAGTTGTGGGGCTTGAACTCTGGGCCTGAGCGCTGTCCCTCAGCTCTTCAGCTCAAGGTTTGAGCTCTACCATTTGAGCTACGGTGCCACTTCCCCTTGCAAGATCTATACATTCACTGTTTCCTATAGTCTTTAACTAACAGGATTTCTTCAGCTTTATACCTTTTGCTACTTTAAAAGCTCCTGCTATCATATTTTAAGAGAATATCATCTGACTTTCTAAAAGTACCATATTTTTGTGCTATTAAAAAACGTGTTAAGCCGGGCGCTGGTGGCTCACGCCTGTAATCCTAGCTACTCAGGAGGCTGAGATCTGAGGATCGCGGTTCAAAGCCAGCCCGGGCAGGAGACACCGTGAGACTCCTATCTCCAATAAACCACCAGAAAACCGGAAGTGGCGCTGTAGCTCAAGTGGTAGAGCGCTCGCCTTGAGCTGAAGAGCTGAGGGACAGCGCCCAGGCCCAGAGTTCAAGCCCCACGGCTGACCAAAAAAAAAAAAAAACGTGTTAGCTGGGTGCTGGTGGCTCACACCTGTAATCGTAGCTACTCAGGAGGCTGAGAACTGAGGATTGCTGTTGAGGATTGCTGTTCAAAGCCAGCCCGAGCAGGAAAGACCGTGAGACTATCTCCAATAAACCACCAGAAAACCAGAAGTGGCTGAAATGCTGAGGGACAGCGCCCAGGCCCAGAGTTCAAGCCCCATGACTGACAAAAAAAAAAAAAACAGCCTGGGAAGAAAAGTACATGAGACTCTTATCTCCAATTAACCACCACAAGACAGCATAAAAGAAAGGAAGAAAGAAAAAAAAAAGATAAATAAATTTGGGAGAAGTTTTGTTTCTTGCCAGAGGCTTAGGGGATGTCCTGTGTCATATGGGGTCTTAAACCATCCTACTCCAAATCCAGCAGTTTCTGGAAATAATGGGACAAATGGGAAGAGATCAAACTTTCTATGATTGATCCTCTTTTATCAAAACTGTAACAGTGTGATGGAGTGGCTCACCTCTGTTACCCTAACTACCCAGGAGGCTGAGGTCTAGAGGATCTCAGTTTGAACCGGCCAAGGCACACAAATCTGAGAGACTCAGCTCCAATTCACCACCAAAATACTGGAAGTGGAGGTGTGGCTCAAGTGGTAGAGCACCAGCCTTGGACAGGAAATAACTAGGCAAAAGAGTGAGGCCCTGCGTTCAAGCCCTAGTACTGGCATATGGCACACATATACATCAAACAACAACAAAAACCCATGCAAAAAGAGAAACACACACACAAAGCAGTAAAATCTATAAAATTTCTTCAGAGAACCTACTCTTTTGGGATCAATTTCCTAAATGTTTTTTGTGTTTATTTGAGCTTATTAACCAAGACCAAGAAGAGATAGTGATATAAATTTCAACAACAAAGTTTTGTTTTTTTATTTTTTTGCGTGTGTGTCAGTCGTGTGGCTTGAACTCGGCTTGGGCACTGTCCCTGTGCTCTTCAGCTCAAGGTGAGCGCTCTACAACTTGAGCCACAGCATCACTTCTGGTTTTCTAGTGGTTTATTGGAGATAAGAAGCTCACAGACTTTTCTAGCCGGGCTGGCTTTGAACCGTGATCCTCAGATCTCAGCCTCCTCAGTAGCTAGGATTATAGGCGTGAGCCATCGGCGCCTGGCTTAACAAAGTTTTATTACAGGTCATTTCCTTCTTTTTTTTTGGGGGGGGGGCCTGACGGGGGAGGGGAGTCAGTTGTGGGGCATGAACTCAGGGCCTAGCTGCTGTCTCTGAGCTTTTTTCCTCAAAGCTAGCACTCTACCACTTTGAGCCATAGTACCATTTCCTGTTTTCCTGAAAGTTAGAGACAGGAGTCTCACAGACTTTCCTGCCTGGGCTGGTTTTGAACCACATCATCAGATTTCAGCCTCCTGTGTAGCTAGAATTACAGGCATGAGCTACTGACCCCTGGCTTCTTGTTTTCTTATAGTAAGTTATTACATTCAGACAGTGATTTCTGAGGTATGTTTTGAGTTTGTTGTATTTATTCATGTAGCATAGTAGTCACACACAGATATACTTAAATAAATAATAAGTAAGGCTTTAAAGTTAGTAGAATTAAACAGATTGGTAGGAGACAGAGCTTTGCAAGGAAAGAGAAGGTAAAAGAAAAAGAAAAATAGTGGCAAATCAACAAATGCACACTGTAGTGATCCTTCATCCATGTTGTCTTTCTTGAGAATTATGTTAATGCCACTTGATGATTTTTTCCCCCTAATCACATCTCTATACTTCCATCCCAATCTCATGATTCTGATCTGATAGAAACTAGAAAATCTCTGGCTTAGGTGTCTGTAACTCAGAGATATGACAGAAATTCCCTATTATTAAAACATCTTAGTTTGACCTCTGATTTGGGATAAGCCAAATTTGCTTTCTCTGGAATCTTTCAAGTAGGAGTTTAAGAGTTACATTTTGTGTGGTATCTGTTTCTTCTTCTTTTTTTTTTTTTGTCAGTCCTGGGGCTTGAACTCTGGGCCTGGGCGCTGTCCCTCAGCTCTTCAGCTCAAGGAGAGCGCTCTACCACTTGAGCTACAGCGCCACTTCCAGTTTTCTGGTGGTTTATTGGAGATAGGAGTCTTACGGTCTCTCCTGCCCGGGCTGGGTTTGAACCGCGATCCTCAGATCTCAGCCTCCTGAGTAGCTAGGATTACAGGCGTGAGCCACCAGCGCCCGGCTTATCTGTTTCTTCTTTTGTTCACTTATTTATTGTGATGCTTGAGCTAAGCTTCATGCTAGATAAGCAAACATTCTGTCCTGTGATGTCTCTTTTGAACTGATAAGCTATTTAACTGACCAACAATTGACTCCACTCCATTGAACCACAGTATTTACTGACAACTTGCTATTTCTTTGTGTACCATTTATGAGGCCTGTGATTAAAGTGAATAATGTTAAGATTCTTATTTGCCTTTGGCCTTTGCGTAATATTTTTTTGAGTCTAACATGGTTGTGTTGATTCCACAGTGTCTCATGCTGGAGCCTCCATGTCATCAGCTTCATCAGACACTGGAATGAGTCCCTCATCATCATCTCCCCCACAAAATGTACTTGCTGTGGAATGTAGGTGATAAACATTTTACCTGCTTTCTCAGCAGTTTGCTGCCATGGACATTAATTCCCAAACCCTGAAATACAACCACAGAAAGCACTCAACTGGTTTGACATTGCTAAGTATATCCTGTATATTTTCCAGGCTGGATTGTATCTCTTCCCTTCTCTCTCTTTTTTTCTTGTTGCAAAAAATAAGCTGATAAATAATTGAAGGTTAGGCAGCCTGCCATATTTGTCATAATTTTTTCTTCTTTATTTTTTCCATTTTTTGTGATATAGAAAAAAAGGGCACTTAGCAAATTTGAATTTGTATAATAAAGCTTTCAGGAGTTATAGGAATCATAGATAAGCAAGTGCACATGATAAAACACCAAAATATTATCTGGCTGAATAGTTACTGCTGCACTTTCACTAAGATGTATTGAACCCTTGGAGAGTAGGAGGTTTAAGTTGTGGGGGTTTTTTTGTTGTTGTTGTTATGTTGTTGATGTTGTATTATTTTTAAAAAATATTTTGTGGAAGCACTTGCTATTTAGAACTGCCAAAGTATATGTTCAGCAGTGTGCCCAGGTTTAAAGGTGTAAATGGGACAAAATAAATTGTGAAAGGAAGTGTAGTTAACTGAAAACTACAGTTGTAATAAGTCTTCCACTTTTTATAGGACTTTTGAGCACACAATTATGCAAATATTTTAATGTTTATTAATGTTTACAGTGGAATTGTGAAGAAGTTTTCAGTGGACTATCTTATCCCTTGACAAAACTATTTTGTCTTTTTTCTATGTAATTTCAGAGTTTTTATTTTGTTACAAAATACAAAAATGAAATATATAACAACAATGAAGTTATTTAACAAGATTTCTAAAGCTGAAAATTTTGTGTAAAATAAGGTATTATCTTGCAACTTGTTAAATATATTTATTCAGACATTGGATGTTGTATTTTTATGTATTTTTTAAAATATTAATAAAATTGAAAAAAAGAAAATTCTAGGTTAATTCACTCTTTGGATGGCAATAGCTCTCAGCTGTTCCTTTTGCAGGAGGGTGCACTCAGCAGCCTTTCCTGTACTCAAGGAAGTCGGTCTCAGTCCTTCAACAATAGAACTGCAAATGGGCATCTGGATCATTAAAGTATGTCCTTCTTTAGAAACTTTGGCAGTCCTAGTAATTAAACTGTTTGAAGATCAAATTTTTGGTTGCCCTTAAGATACTTTGTCACAGCTTTTGTGTTAGCTATACTGCCGAATAAGTTTATATCTCCCAAAGTTGAGATGCAACACTAAGTAAAGCAACTATGTATGCTATGTCTGTGAATTGTTCCACAGACATACATTTTGTAAATAATTCTTCCAAAATCATGTATTTAGCAGTTTTGCATATACATTATGTAAAAAGGTGATTTTTTAAAAGCAATTTTTAAATTCATGTTTGTACATTGAAAGGATTTTTTAAAACCTCCTTTTCTGTGTTTAATATGCTGTAGAAAAATAACCTAGATGCTCTAGACTGTATATCAGGATCTGATTTACAAGAGCAGAGTTAAAGCTGAACACTAGTGATGGCATAGCATTACTGAAATCATTGTTTCTTAATTTCATTTTACCACATTGTGAACTTGTGATTCAGATTCCTTCCATTTTCTCAGAGAATTAAAAACAAAAAGTACTCTTGTAAAATGACCTTTTCTGTCTTTTCTTTGCAAAGCAGAAGTATTGCAATGTAAAATAAAAATGGAGCTCAGCAGGCAGTATTAATAAAGGCCATGTTTTAAACATAGGCTTTTTATTTTTAATTTTCATTTAAGTGATTGTTTCTTTCCAAATGTCAGTAATGTATAGTTAAAAACAGATTTCATTAACCAAAGCATTTTAGTATATTCTTTTAATCTTTACAATAAAATATTGCTAGTACTTATAAGATGCAAGTCATTCAGATCTAGTTCAGAGTAGGAGACAGTCTTTAATTTATACACTGATTTAATGATTTCCTTTAGTAGCAATTCAATAAGCCTGAAATAATGCACTGACTAATTTGAGGGACTGTCCCTTCTAATTGATATAAATTTGGTGCTGAAAGTACTGGGATTCTGCAGTAGGGAACAAAATTATACACTGATTAAATAGGTTCAGTTTAAATCCTTTTATTCTGGGGTAGAGAAATAAAATTAACTGATTGGTGACTAGGCTTTACACATAAAATATTGGGCATATACTGAGTTTTCCTAAAACTTCAGAGATTGTTCGTGTGTGTGTGTGTGTGTGTGTGTGTGTGTGTGTGTGTGTGTGTGTTGAACTCAGAGCTGGGACCTTTTGCTCTCAATCAGCTTTTTCATTCACAGTTGATGCTCTACCTATGACCATTTGGCATTTTTATGGTTAATTGGAGACTGAGTCTTACAGCCTGCTTCAAATTAACTCACAGGCTGCTTCAAATTGATTGCTAGCTTCAAATCTTGATCCTCCCAGTCTCAGCATGGAGATTGCAGCTAGGATTATAGTCATGAGTCACCCACACTATGTTAAACATCAATGCTCTTGATTGAACATGACTAAGATAGTAAGTTACTAAGAAAGTAAAAGCCTCATAATTAAGCAAACCTACCAAATTGTGAAAACATTTGTATCAGTAACACACAAAGACTATTACCAGAATTATTTCCTCAGTATTCTATTGAACATCTTTTTTTTTCCTGAACTAATCAAATATTTTATCAGTGGGTAAGTACTCCAACACATGCACAGTGTTCAGGGGAGAGATTGGAACAATGGGAATATCTAGAGTGAAAAGCCTGTTCAATAATTTTGTAGAAAGCAATTGGGAAGTAGGTAATGACTTAAAATGGGATAAAATTAAGTCAGTCTGTAGTGTTTCATATGTGGAAGTTACATCTTGGGCCTTTTGATCTTACCCTGAGTAAATACAGCAAGTTTCCTTCCCTAGCCACTGCTATGGTCTCAGTGCTGCTTCACTTCAGTTGGAAGTAGATGGGGATGATGATCTCACAAGATCTGAATGGTTTGCAGATTCTTCCCAGAATTTGGGAGAAGAGATGAACATGAACAAAGTCTTTGTAGCTTTGAGCCATTAATCCCAATCTATGCCCTGTCATATGTATTAAGTATCATGGCAATCACCAGATTAATAAATTGTCTTCAATGTATTTACTTATGGAAATGACTCCTTGTATAGACTTAATGTGGTATATACTGAGCAATTTTTAATAAAAGGCAACGTTTATATCATAAACTCAGAGTGGGATTTAACCATGAGGAGGTATTTCACCCTAGACTTGTTCCATGCATTTCTCATTTTTTCACACCATCATCAAGCCACTTTTGGATTCACAGATTTTATCAAGGCAGTTAACCCTTCCAAGTTCTCAGAAGACTTTTACCTTGCCGATTGTGGTTTCTGTTTTAATTGCTCCCATTCTGAGTCTAACCGTAACATGGAGAACTATCAACATTCCTCCTTGGAATGGATACCTCTGCACATCTTTGACATGGCCATGTCTGAAGAGAATACAGTATATACAATGCTGTGTATGCTGCAGCCCAGGCCCTTTGTGATATACTTCTTCAGCAAACTGAAGTACAACCAATGGGAAATGAGAAGGAGATAGTGCCTTCCCCTGTACAGGTAATGCCTTCTCTGTTCCTAGGTAAACTATGAGGAAAGTCAGTTTCAGGGGTTTTCCATTGGCCTGAGAAAAGATGATTAATTGTCTATTAGTTAACTTTAGAACTGTGTTCAGGTGCTCTTAAAGAAAAGCTGGTGAAAAGGAGGGAAATGTGTTTCACATTCCCATGATGTTACGGATGACCTCAATTTGCTCGCAGTTGTTATTTTTGAAATTGTAAATCAAACTTTCCCCTACCAGTTACTTAAATACTAGCAAAGGATGACCAGTTCTTTAAGTACCTAAGCCTTGTAAACAGAATTACCCACGCTTGTCATCAATGATCTTGCTTAATTCTACTTTAGATATTCCAATTTAAGAAACTGAAACTCTGTAGATATTTCTAAAATTAGTAGTTCCAGTAAACTAGACAACTGAGAGTTGTCTCATTTGTGACTATTTAGGAGGAGACTGTTTCTCATGAGAAGCAGCCTGGTGATTTGTTCCTGAGTGATCAGGATTCAGAAACACTGTATGTTAGTTATTTTTTTTTTTTTAGTTCTTTATAGACTTTTATTCTACTTCTTTGGTGTCTGTGTTAATCTTGAAGCAGGGAGTAAAGACAAATAGAGGAATTTTGCTTAATTTAGATTTTCCATTTTAACTTCACCATAAAATGATGTATCTTGGTTGCATCCTTTTTTTTTTTTGGTCATGGGACTTGAACTCTGGACCTGGGCGCTGTCGCTCAGCTCTTCAGCTCAAGGCAAGCACTCTACCACTTGAGCCACAGCGCTACTTCTGGTTTTCTAGGATTACAGACGTGAGCCACCTGTGCCTGGCAAGTTGCATCCCTTTTGAAGAACCTCCAATTTACTGAAGTAAATAGACTGTAGGGACATGTCTAGTGTCCCTTCTATGGCTCCTGAAGTGAGCAGTAGCCACAGTCACCAGACTGTACTACATTGGACCTCACCAAACTGCAGGCCAAACTGCAGAGACGAGGTGAAAACATCATTTTTGGTATTATGCTAAGACCTCAGAGTCTGAAGAACAAGACAGAAAAAGATTCCTATTTTCATGGAATATGTGATCAAATAGGGTAGATGTTAAACAACCTATTCTTAACTGCTGGTGTGACAAGCATATTAAATAGAGTGTACCATGAGGTTATGATACAGAGCTCAGGTGAGTATGAAGTGCCAGCCAAACTAAGCCCCAATGATGAAGGCTAACTCTGGCTAGAGATATGGAAGGGCAGGTGTAGATAATATGGTGTTCTAAGCACATGGGGAGAAAGGAAGGTAGGAATGAGCCAGTTTAAGGACACACCAAAAGTGAGAAGCAGTCCAGAAGGGTCATTCAGGCACTGCTCAATCCTGCACCTGTCCACCCCCACCTCTTCCCTTTATTCCCCCACCACTCCCATCTTTGTGTTCCCAGAGCTGTCTCAAGAGCTAGTGTTGCCATAAAGCATTGGCTGACTCACTACTACAAAATATTACCACCTTTTGTGCTCTGATAGCTTTTTGATCTGTTCTGACAACTTACCTTGTGTTGTGATTGTGCATGTATGTTGCTACTTTACTGGATGATTAGTTCCATGAGCTCTTTCTAATCAGGTGTTTCCCACAAAGTGCCTGGCCCAGCACCTTATGAGTGGTCAGAAATGACTTAATTATTGAAAAAAACATAACAAAAAGCTATTATAGTTTCTTTTCTTCTTTTTTTTTGGGGGGGGGGTCCAGTCGTGGGGCCTAAACTCTGGGCCTGGGCGCTGTCCCTCAGCTCTTCAGCTCAAGGCTAGCACTCTACCACTTGAGCCACAGCGCCACTTCTGGCTTTTTTCTTTTTGCTTTTGGGGTGCTGAGGAATCGAACCCAGGGCCTCATGCATGCAAAGCAAGTGCTCTACCACTGAGCCACCTTCCCAGCCTCTCTTTTCTTCTTATGTGCAAAGCCATACAGGGTTCTTCTCATAAGATGATAATGTTGAACTACCATTTGGGAAGAGTTAAAGTAGGCCTGTTTTAACAGCCTTGACTCAAAATAGTCCTAAGCTAATGAATTATTGTTCCTTTTCTCTTTTGACTGTTCTTCCTTTTTGTATATGTGGTTACACATTTTCATTCCATTATGGAAGGAGTACAATATATGATAGTGTTTGTCTTTAGTGAATATTGAATGACTCACAATGGAATTTGCACTGGAGAAGAATTTCCAACAAATAGCAGTCTAATGATTTTGCAGAGTGGAATTTTTCTTTTACATTTTATGGTGGTAGAGGGGAGGAGAGACAGAGTCTTACTGTATAGCCCAGACTGGCCTAATTGTTCTGGTCTTCCTGCTTCTGCCTCTCAAATGCTGAGATTGCAGATATGCACTACTATACATGGCCCTTTTATTTTTTTTATTTTTTTTTTGTCGGTCGTGGGGCTTGAACTCTGGGCCTGGGCGCTGTCCCTCAGCTCTTCAGCTCAAGGCTAGCGCTCTACCACTTGAGCTACAGCGCCACTTCCGGTTTTCTGGTGGTTTATTGGAGATAGGAGTCTCACGGTCTCTCCTGCGCGGGCTGGCTTTGAACTGGGATCCTCAGATCTCAGCCTCCTGAGTAGCTAGGATTACAGGCGTGAGCCACCAGCGCCCGGCTACATGGCCCTTTTAATTTTTCTTTTAAAAATTTCCTTGTGTTCTTTATTCTTTTTAATTAGTTTTTATTATCTTCAGTTATACAAAGGAGTTACTTTTTACAAAATGTTTTCCATGTTGACAAGCACTAAAATTTTTTTAAATATTCCCATTATGTATCTTTATAAAGAGATAAAGCATGTTTATATATTTATTATAAATAGTTAATGTAATTATTAAGCTATATTCATTTTGTACTGTATATCATGCAGAACTTATTTTGGAAAGTTCAATTATGAAAAATTTAACTTCCATGTAAATATAACAAATGATTATTTGTACAAATAATTGGATTCATTTTCAAGTCAAGGCAATCTGCCTTCCAAGTTGTTAGCGTGAACAAATAAAAATAGAGAAGATCGGCCTGGGAAGGTGGCTCAGTGGTCGAGTGCTTGCCTTGCATGCATGAGGCCCTGGGTTCGATTCCTCAGCACCACATAAGAAAAAGCCAGAAGTGGTGCTGTGGCTCAAGTGGTAGAGCCCTAGCCTTGAGCTGAAGAGCTGAAGGACAGCGCCCAGGCCCAGAGTTCAGGTCCCACGACTAACCAAAAAAAAATTTTTTTTGAACTATTAAATTTGAACTTTAGAAAAGTATTTATTTTTTATTTATTTATTTTTTTTGGGTCCAGTCATGGGCCTGAACTCTGGGCCTGGGCAGTGTCCCTCAGGTCTTCAGCTCAAGGCTAGCGCTCTTACCACTTGAGCCATAGCACCACTTCCGGCTTTTTTTTTCTGCTTATGTGGTGCTAAGGAATCAAACCCAGGGCCTCATGCAAGCAAGGCAAGCACTTTACCACTGAGCCACCTTCCCAGCCCCTAGAAAAGTACTTAGTATAAGCAGGTCCCATGCAAAAGTTTTGCACTTACTGAGAATTAAACTTCATTGGCTACCCGACATTTTACCCACAAACCCTGTAGCTAACCTCTTTTGCTGTAATCTAAGATATAAATTATCCTCCAAAGAACTTTCTTTGGAAAAAAAAATGGCTGAAATTGTCCTTTTGTGTACATGTACATAAACGTGCGTGTGTGTGTCTGTGCATGCAGCAGTACTCAGGGGATTGGGCACTGTCAATGAGCTCTTTTGCTGAAGTGCTCTACACCTTGAGCCACAGCTCCACTTCCAGCATTTTGTAGTTAATTAGGGGTAAGAGTCTCACAATCTTTTCCTGCCCAGGCTGGCTTCAAACCTCAATCTTCAGATCTCAGTCTCCTGAGTAGCTAGGATTACAGGTATGAGTCACTGGTGCCTGGCTAAGGTGGAAACTTTGAGATGATTATGTGTCTGCCTTTATGAATGAGTTAATCCATTTGTTGATAAATTGGTTATCCCTAAAGAGGGTCTGTTATAAAAACAAACTTTGTTCTTCTTCTTGTCTTTTTTTTTGTTGTTGTTAGTCATGGGGCTTGAACTCTGGGCTTGGACGCTGTCCCTGCGCTCTTCAGCTAAGGCAAGTGCTCTACCACTTGAGCCACAGTGCCACTTCTGGTTTTTTGATGGTTTATTGGAGATAAGAGTCTCACGGACTTTCCTGCATGGGCTGGCTTTGAACCATGATCCTCAGATGCTGAGTAGCTAGGATTACAGGTGTGAGCCACCGGGGCCTGGCTCTTGTCTCTATCTCTCTCCCCTCTCTCCTCTGTCTCTAGTTTGATCTATTGCTACTCTCTTTCTAGGTAGACTTCTCCCTCCCTCTCTCATATAGCCTAAGCTGGGCTTAAATTTCTCAATCCTCCTGCCCCAGACTCTCCAGTGGTGAGAATTCAGGTGAGCAAAATGCTGGATTGGAGGTATGGCTCAAGTGGTAGAATGCAAGTCATGAGCAAGAAAGCTGAGCGCCAGGCCCCGGTGGCTCATGCCTGTAATCCTAGGAGGCGGAGATCTAAGGATATCTAAGGAGATCTAAGGATAGTGGTTCAAAGCCTGCCAGGGCAGGAAAGTCTGTGAAACTCTTTTCTCCAATAAACCACTAGAAAACTGGAATTCATGCTGTTGCTGAGTTGAAGAGCACAGGGACAGCACCCAGGTCCAGAGTTCAAGCCCCATGACTGACGACAAGAAAGAAAGAAAGAAAGAAAGAAAGAAAGAAAGAAAGAAAGAAAGAAAGAAAGAAAGGAAGGAAGGAAGGAAGGAAGGAAGGAAGGAAGGAAGGAAGGAAGGAAGGAAGGAAAGAAAGAAAGAAAAAAAGAAAGAGAAAAAGAAAGAGAAAGAGAAAAAGAAAGAGAAAAGCAAGCTAAGAGCACAAGGACTCCCCCCCCCCCCCCCCCCCCCCCCCCCGCCCCCCAACACCCCAGTTCAAGCCCTAGAGCCAGTAGCCACAACAACAACTACTGTCTCACAGTTTCAAAGCCTGACTCCACTGTCACTCGGCCCGGTTGTTTGGGGCCTATAGCACAGTACATCACAGAGGGAAAGTGCGGCAGAGGAGGCCTTTTCACTTCAAGGAATGGGCAAGGGTCCGGGCTTCATAACATTTCTTTCAAGGTTAGCCCCCAATGACCTAACTTCCTAGTACTAGTCCCCACCTGCCAAAAGTTCTACCACCTCTCAAATAGCTCCTTGAGGGCCTTTGCAGGACACTTCCAAACTAGGACTACCTTCAGGAATACAGGGTTGGTTTAATAGTAAAGGAAACTTTATGGAAACTTAGGAGTTAAGCAAGATTTCAGGATGTAAAATGGATTTTCTACATATTAATATTTGCAGTTGATATTTTCAAAATATCATTTTTACAACGGCTCAAAGTTTAGAATGCTGAGAAGTCCAAAAGCAAGGCATTGTGAGAGCCTTGTGAAGCAGTACAAGACTGCTTCAATTCATAGTTGAAAGGGAAAGGGCAGCTGGGATCTATGAAGGAGATAAAACCCTCATTCAGGTCGATCCACTTTCACAGGAACTGATACAGTACTTCCGAAGTAAGAACTTACTCATTTGTGTGAGACTTAACCTGGTACAGAATGAATCCCTCTTAAATACCCAATCACCTCTTAAAGCCTCCACCTCCCAAAGTAATCCATTAGATTGGGAATCAAATTTCAACGTTAGTTTTTGTGTGGACAAACATATCCAAACCCGCTGTTAGCTAAAATACATAAATACATAGTCAACACTAAGAAAATCTGGTCCAAAAACAGTGTGTGGGGGGGAGGGCAATGATTTGAACAGATACCACACTAAAGGAGTTACTGAGATGGTAAATATGCATATGGAAAAAGTGTCAACATCATATGTCATTTGGGAATTGCAATTAAAACTGTGATGCTATTAACACTCATTAGCATGCAGAAGTCCTTCAGCCGGGCATGGGTGGCTCACACACCTGTAACTATAGCTGAGCTCTGAGGACTGAGGTCGGCCTGGACAGGAAAGTCCTTGAGACTCTCACCTCCAATGAACCATCAGCAAACCGGAAATGGAGCTGCGGCTCGAAGTGGTAGAGCGCTCGCCCGGGGCAGAATGGCTCTAGGGACAGCGTCCGGGCCCTGAGTTCAAGTCCCATGACTGACCCAACACTGACAATGCCCAAGACAGAGACAAACAGTGTCTCGGGGAAGGCGTTTGGAATCTAGAGTGCGACAGACCTGGGTTCGAAGCCGGCGCTGCAGCTCCACGGCTGTGGGCCGCCCCTCGCGTCCCCGGCTCCCTGAGTCTCCTCAGGGGTGGCGGCGGCGGCTAGGCGTCAACGCGCCACCGGGCGCGCCAGGGACGGACCGCCGCCGGCGCCCCCTGCCGGCCGCCCGACCCCCGCGGCGGGGCCCGCGCCCAACGCTCGGCCGCCGGTCTCCGCGGCCCGATGCCGTGCGTCCGCCCGGTCCTCGGCCTCCTGGCCGCCCTGGCCGCCTGCGGAGCCGTCGCCTTCCTGGCCTACTGCGTCTACTTCGACCGGAAGCGGCGTGGCGACCCGGCATTCAAGCGGCACCTGCGGGACAGTGAGTGCGCCCGGTGTGGCAGGGGGGCCCGGGCCCGGGGCGCAGCGGGCCGTGGGATGGGCGGCGGCCGAGGGGACCGCGGGCCCACGAGCCATCTGTGTTTGCAGAGAGAAGAGCCCAGCAGCCACCGGCCCAGGCGCGGGACGCGCAGGTGAGGCGTCGCCCACACGCCGGGAACTTTCTAGAAGCAGGGCCGGGAAGGGGGGGGGTGCTTGTGTCCCGCGTGCCGCGGCCTTCCGTTTAGTACTAGCTCTCTGCAGCAAAAGGAAGCGAGGGAGGGCGGGCGGGCGGTCATGGTGCGACTGCAGGCGGGGCCGGGCTCGCACCGGGAGCCCTAGCTAATGAGGAGGCGGAGGATAGGAGGGCCGCGGTGCGAAGCCCGCCGGGGCAGGAACGTCTGTGAGACTTAGCTACAAGACGGAAATGGAGCCTTGGGTGAAGCAGCCCAGGGCTCAAGGGCAGGACTAGTACTCACGGCCTTGGTCCATCCGCAGGAGGTTTTCCCCGGGCATTTGCTCAGATATGCATTGTCTGATCCTAACGCCAGCACGTGTGGTTCCTTAGCCGTGAGTCCCCAACTGGAATGCGGATGCATCACCTGGAGCTTGTTAAAAATGTAGATGGCTGAGCCAAGGGTTATCCTGTAGGTCGGGGTGGACCCCAGGACCCTTCTCTAACAGCTCATCCGGAAGGGCCCTGGGCCCCCAACGTCTTCCCTGGTTTTGTCTCCTCCGACAGGGTTCTCAGATGTACCACTCTAGACCCAAATTGGACCTACATGCTCCACACTTACCCAGTTACACGGATGGCACCGATTCATGATCTCATCCTTGTTACCAATCTTCTCCTGCTTCCTTATGAAGCTTATAGACTTGCTACCCTCCTGGCTGCTCTTGTTTACTTAAATAACAGACTTGTTTTCCATAAATATGGGTGTACTAACTCCTTAACCCATTCCAAAACTCCTCTTTGTATCCAGCCCACTACAGGCTTTCTATGCACAACCTCCCTACTCTCTGCACTTCTGAAACCACCCTCACTTTGACACCACTGCCTTGCATGAGTGCCTACTGTACTAACTGCCTAAGCGTTGGAAATAATCTATATAAAGTTCCTTGTCTGCAGCTGGTCTTCAGTAATGAGTACTGATGCTATGTTTACCTTGTCATAATCCAATTGAATGCTGAGGACTTGGCTCATGTGGTAAACACAAGTACAAAACCCTGAGTTCAAACCCCCCAGTATTGCAAAAACAAATGACCATTCGATGTGTGCCATACAATGCATTCTTCATCAAACTTTACCAAACTTCTCCATACTCATGCTCTTTTCTGAGAAACCTTTCCTGATTCTTTATCCAGATGTAAAGTACTGTGAATCCCCAAAGACATTGGACTTCTTATCATACCTATATGTTAGGAATCATTTTCTCAGCCTTGTGGTGGGTTTGTCAATGGACTTAGAGGTTTGGGTTGGTTGTCTACTTCTTCCAGCTGCTCCTAGACTGTCCTGCCATTTATAGTACTTACTAAACCTCAATCCACTTATGGAGCCTTTGACAACTATTACTGATAAAAGCTTTCAAGGGGCTGTTAGCACAATAAAGACCAGTCCTAGTCATAGTTCCAAGGTTGATGACATCTTGTGGTCTTGTTTGCCTTTCTGAACCAATGTTCTGATACTTATCAGCTGTCAACCTTCCACCATGTCCTATCCTGCTCTCCTTCTGAGGGTTTCAATATAGAAGCCTTGCCAGTTTCCTGCCTCACCTAGTAGAGAGGTACCAAGCTGTAGAACATTTTTAATGAAATGAATATCTAGTAGAGATGTTACTATGAGGAGATATCACAATGACCAGAGACCTATAGGCCAGAGAAATCTCTGCAACCTATTCAACATGCATTGGTAATAACAGGCAAGAAAATACAATTGCAACACACAAAGCTACCTTTACTGTATTAGTTATAGGAGGATTTCTGCAGTGTTATTACCATTCTTGTTTTTGTTTTTAATCGCAAAAAACTTTAACCCTATTTTAGGAAACATTTAATTATAAAGAGAGATTACATTTTTCACTCATTAGAGACTAGGCTCAAAATGTGCTTTTAAAATAAGAACTGATTTTGACCAGTATACCAAAGGCCTTACATTCACTACTCATTGTTAAATGTCTTATGAATCTTTTAGTTGTGGGATCTAGCAACAAATGAAAAACTGCAAGAACGTTTTCTGCAAGAGGTACAGATGGCAGAACTTTGGTTATCTAGAGGTAAGAAGTAATAATCATTTTAAGTTACTTGCAATGACATGTTCAAGAAGTACAATCAGTATTTGTCAGATTTGGTATTTTGCTTCAGTTAAAAAGAAATTGTCAGCCGGGCACCAGTGGCTCATGCTTGTAATCCTAGCTACTCAGAAGGCTGAGATCTGAGGATCACGCTTCAAAGCCAGCCTGGGCAGGAACATCCATGAGACTATCTCCAATAAACCACTAGAAAACTGGAAATGGCGTTGTGGTTCAAGTGGTAGAGTGCTTGCCTTGAGCTGAAGAGTGCAGGGACAGCGCCTAAGCCCAGAGTTCAAGCCCTACGACCAACCCCCCGCCCAAAAAAAAAAGAAAATTGTCTTGGTTTTTTCACCTGCAACATTATCCCACTCAAAGGAAATTTTGATTTACAAGTCAAACAAGTCACATACTACATAGGCTGGGAAGGTGGCTCAGTTGCCGAGTGCTTGCTTTGCATGCATGAGGCCCTGGGTTCGATTCCTCAGCACCACATAAGCAGAAAAAGCTGGAAGTGGTGCTTTGGCTCAAGTGGTAGAGTGCTAGCCTTGAGCTGAAGAGCCGAGAGACAGCGCCCAGGTCCAGTGTTCAGGCCCCATGACTGGCAAAAAATAAAAAAGGAAATGGACTATATTCCTACAGGTTAGGCATAATATAGGCTATGTTATGTAAACTTAATGCAAGCATATGTCTACAATATTCACGTGACACTGATGGTCATGTAATGATGTGTTTGATTTTTAAAACCCAGAATGTACACAAATGATTTTTTTTTTTAATTGGTCATGGGATTTGAACTCAGGACCTGGGTGCTGTCCCTGAGCTATTCTGTGCAAAGCTAGTGCTCTACTACTTGGAGCCACAACTCCACTTCCAGTTTTCTGATAGTTAATTGGAGGTAAGTCTCACAGACTTTCCTGCCTCGGCTGACTTTGAACTACAGTCCTCTTATCTCAGCCTCCTGAATAGGTAGGGTTACAGGAGTGAGCCTCCAGGGCCTGGCACAAATGACTTTAAAATCTCATTTGACTTCTAGTCATTTTAAGAGTTACTCAGGTATTTAGATTTAGATGTTGATGGTGTGTAAGTGTTGAAATTATTAGAATTATAAACTTGGCTTTAAATTTCTCCCCCAAAAGTGGTAACACTTTTTCCTCTGTGAACTCATAGATGTACAGATTTATCTCTTATCCAGAATACTTGAGACCACAACCTCTTTGAAATATGTGTGTATTCCTAATGTGACTTACTCAGAACATATAATTCATTTCATAGACATTATATATAACCTGTAACAAGTTAACTTGTTACAAATTTTTTAGTAGGGTAGTGTTTGGGCTTTGACTTATCATCTGAGGTTAAATGTGGAGTTTTCATTTGTGGCCTGAATTCAGCATTCAAATTTTCGGGTTTGAAGCATTTTGAATTTTCACATGAGGGTTCAACCTGTAGTTCTGTAACCAATTTAGTTGTTTATGTCTGTGGAATAATTTTGATTGTAATATCTGAGAGGCTATGTTGGATTTGTTGGTTTAGTTAACCAATGGTTTGCTTTTTCTATTCCATTAGCACTATGTGTCATGAGTATAGGCACTACTGTAGCTTCAGTTTTTCTTTAAAAACATATAGACTATAGTTAAAGTATAATGACAGTGTATTACCATCATAAAGCTAAAATATTATCAATTTAAAATAAATTTAGGGCTGGGATATAGATTAGTGTTAGAGCACTTGGCCTGATCCAAGGGTCAAAAGTTAGGTTCTCCTACTGCATTGCTGGTGGGAATGTATACTGGTACCTCAGAAAGCTAAATATAGACCTCCCCTATGACCCAGCCATACCACACCTAGACATCTACCCTGAATCAGGATACAAGGACACCTGCAGCACTGTTCACAATAGTTAAGATATTGAAACAAACCAGATGCCCCACTACTGATGAGTGGATCCAAAAATTGTGGTACCTATATACAATGGAAAATTATATAGCCATTAGAAAGGACAAAGTAATGGCATGTGCAGGGAAATGGATAGAACTAGAGCAAATCATCTTGAGTGAGGTAAGCCAAGAGCAGAGAGACAAACGGCACATGGTGTCCTTGATACGTGGATGCTAAAGCCAGAATGCAAGGAGATATGACAAAGTAAATAGGGCTCAAGAAATAAAGGACTTCCACTCCTTTTATTGTATCATTGCTAAATGACTCCATGTTCTTGACCACATATATGGTATATATATGTGCACAAGGGAAGGAAGCTAGGAGGACACAGAATCAGAGGGAAACAGGAAAACATATAATAGAGGGGCCCATCAGCTGCACTGACATAGATGAAAATGAACTAAGCAACCCAAAGACAGTGATGACAGGGGAGGAATGAGAGGGAAAGAGGGAACAGCTTAACAAAAGGGAAGAAATGTAACTATCACCTGATGTGGAAGAAATAATTGTATTGTCAAAGTTCATAGTATTCACAAACTTTATAGACCATGATAATGACAATTTGCCTTGTGAAGGTTAAAATGTGTTTGTGATTTTAACTATCACTATTCCACAATAATGTATGTAATCACCTAATCTCAACTTAAAAAAAAAGTTAGGTTCTACTCCTCCTACTTCTAGCATTAATGAGCTTGAAAACTAAATCACTTCACTGGTCTTTTGTTTTCTAAAAGTTGAGAGTAAAACTAAGTCATCCCATGTTATAATTTAAAGGAAATGATTATAGTTTACTTTTCACAAATTTCTATTCCTTGTTCCTTCACAACCAATCATCCTAAAATTCATTTATAAAAAATTAATTCAGAAATCAGAGTTCACAGATGTCTTATTTTCTTTCTCTAGATTATAATTCATGTTATACTAAATTTTGTTTCAAGCTAGGTATGGGGACACATGCCCATAATCTCAGGATTTGGGAAACTGAAGCAGGAACATCTCAAGGTTGAGACTTGCCTTAGTTATGCAGGGAGACTGTCTCAAAAAAAAATTGAAATCTTTGATAATGGAGTCTATTCCTTTTAGCTTTTTTTTTTTTTAATTGAAAAACAGGCCACATTAAAAACTAAAACAACATGAGTATTTTCAAGGCAAGTGTATTTCCTTAAACAGTGAGTATGGTAACTGTAATTTGCCTTATACAATGATTGTGTGAGTGTGTGTGTACATGCCAGTACTTGGGCTTGAACAAGTCTCTGACTAGGCCTTTTGTTTAAGGGTATCATTCTACTACTTGAGCCATACCTCTGCTTCTGGCTTTTTGATGGCTAATTGGAGATAAGAGTCTTATAGACTTTTCTATGATCCTCAGATCTCAGCCTGACCTTTACCACTGTGAAACTCATTCTCTCTCATATGTGTACTCTTTATTCTTCATAGGAATTGTCTAGATAGCCTTTAGTGTAAGATGCTTTAAATGTCTAACCTTTTTTGCTTTCTTGTAGGATGCACATTTTGACAAATGCTAAATTTTACTCAAAATGTCTTACTGTTTCAGGAGAGAATGGAATGGGGGTACAACACCTCAGCAATGCCCTTTCAGTCTGTATGCAACCACAGAAGCTTCTCCATGTTTTCAAACGCACACTCCCTCCCAAAGTATTTCAGATGCTATTGCACAAAATCCCCCTTATCTGCCAGGTGAGTACACAGTTAATCATTTTTTTGAAATATACTTTGTGAATTATAACAGTAATAATCATGATGTTGGGTAGATTACATAGGAATAGCAAAGTATGTTTGTGAATTGCCCAAGTTCTAAATGACCATTTTTAAGCCAAATGAATAAAAGGTATCTTCATCAAACTGCCTGATATACTTATGCATCAATGAGAATTTCCTATAAATGCTTGCATTTGTTTCAGGATTGATAAGCCAAAAGATATAAATTTACCTCTGTTTTACTTTTATTCAGCTGATTGCACTTCATGGTTGAAAATAAACCATATATTGTTGGTCAGACTCAGAACCATTCATGTTAGACTCTCAGCTTCTGAACAAAGTGTGAAACAATACAGACTCCCTTAGAGCCTAATAGTCAACTCTTACACATTCCCAAGTTAGTCTTAGATGGGATGTTTCCTGAAGATACAGCTAGGATAAGAATGTAATGCCCACTGATAAAAGAAGGGAAGCAAGAAAAAGATCGTGCATTGAAATGATTAGCAAGTAACTGTTTTATGTATTTACCAGCAATTTGAGGCAAACATGAATGAACAGGAATGCTTGGAGGATGATTCTGATTGAAAACATTTCAACGTATCCACAGTCCAGTCAGAATACTGTGTTCTATACAGTATAAACAACTAACTGCTCAGTGATACTTCCATTTATTTTACTTTTAGTAATAAAATTTTTTTCTACCTTATACATGATTGGACACATATTTTACTTTAAAATTAACAGTCACGAATGAAGAAACAATGGTTTATTTTTTCTAACCAAAGTGACCAAGCCGTAAATCTTAAGACTTCAACAAATGTTACATCCTACTATTTTCACTGAACAATGACCTTCTCTTTTGATTATTTCTGGGGAACAATGTTTTTGTTTCTCCAGTGGTTTCCATTTGCCAAGTAGCCACAACAGACAGGCATTACAGGGTGCTTACTGCTTTCAGAGGATTCTTTGAGATGAATCCTCATTTCCAGTGCAACGACTGTTGGCAATATTTCATTGAAGTCCATCCACTGGGACTTCCCTATCGCGGCTGGCCCAGGAGTCCTGCTTTGGCTGCTAGGGCTTCATTCTGCTGAATATGATATTCCTGAAACCTCATAGATATTCTTTGTGTCATTTTTAAATATTTCTGTAAGCAATGTTCCGAACAGGTAATCTAGAAATAAGGAAGACGAAGCAACACAAAAAAATCAGTTTTTTAAAATGAAGGTATTATAAAAGAAAACCAGTGAGATGTTTTTGAACACACACACACACACACACACACATGTGCGCACACGCACGCGCACCCCCCCCCCCCCCCCCCCCGGTAGCAAATACTATAGCTTAATTGTTGATACTTTCAACCATTAGTGAGAATTAAAGCTTTCTTGAAGCTTCTGGACTATATTTTCTACAGGTATGTTTCAGTATTAACCGAAAGCCCACATTATTACCCCCTTATTTAGATGGTTAAAATAAACATCTAGGAGCTGGTTGTGGTGGTACACATCTTTGGTCCTAGCTATGCAGGTGCTGGAAGGAGGATTACGGCCTGACAATGGTCCTTAAGTAAAAACACCACATCCTATAAGAAAAATAACTAAAGCAAAAAGGGCTTTAGGCTTGACTCAAGTGTAGAGCACTTGCTTACAAGCATAAGGCCCTAAATTCAAAGCTCCTGTGTTACTTCCCACCAAAGGGGGGAAAAAAAGTTCATCTAGTAGTTTTATGTCTTTATGTCTATGCTCTATCATAGCAGTCATATACAAGCCCCCTTTTTTTTTTTTTTGGGTCGGCCGTGGGGCTTGAACTCTGGGCCTGGGCCCTGTCCCTCAGCTCTTCAGCTCAGGGTGAGCGCTCTACCACTTGAGCTTCAGCGCCACTTCCGGTTTTCTGATGGTTTATTGGAGATAGGAGTCACATGGTCTCTCCTGCCTGGGCTGGCTTTGAACTGTGATTCTCAGATCTCAGCCTCCTGAGTAGCTAGGATTACAGGCGTGAGCCACCAGCGTCCAGCTGCCCTTTTGTTTTTGAAACAGAGTCTGCCTAACTTAGCCTGGGCTGGACCCAAAACTTCCTGATCCTTCTACCTCCAACTTCCAAGTACCTGGTATTGTAGGCATATACTACTACACCCTACACGTTTCTTTTTAATGAGTAACCTCATTATCAACATTCTTGATTCTAAAAATATTGCTTACTTTTTACTTACATATTTATTGAGATGAGGTCTTAATATGGCCTTGACCTTGCCACTTAGGCCAGGTTTGCCTGGAACTTAGGATCATCTTGTATCAGCCTCCAGTGCTGAGATTACAGGTGTGACCACCACACCTGGCTTCACTTTTCTTTTTTTCTCAAATATTTCTTATTGAGATTACATGACTAAATAAATTTCGCAATACTGTAGCATAGTTATACTTAGCCTAAGTCACAAACACCTTTTAATATTCACAACAATAGTTACCATTATCTTAATCTACACTGCTTATGAACTCTATGACCTTTAACAATAAAACTAATTTTTTTTTACACATTGGGTGATATATACATTTATTTTGCTTAGTATCAGCTGTTCCCGCTTTCTCTCTTTAGCTTTTGTCCTATGTTTGTCAATTATTTAACAAGTAAGTACTGATGATGGTTAGATACTAAATTCTTGGCATAAATGTTACCAACATTTGTCACTTTGAGCAAATATGCAGATAATGTGATGAAGACATTAAAAGTTAACACTTAAAATAGGACTGGGTTTCAGAGTCCACCTATGAAATAAAAGCTACCACAAACAATTTTTGCTTTTTTCTGAAATTAATCCAAGTTCTCAGACCAGATAAAAGGCCAAATCCAGTTTCTTTAGACAGCTAGGTGCTGGTGACTCATGCCTGTAGCCCTAGCTACTCAGGAGGCTGAGAGTTCGAAGCCAGTCTGGGCAGTAAAATCCATGAGACTTTTGTCTCCAATTAACCATCAAAAAGCAAGAATTGGAGCTGTACTCAAGTGGTAGAGCACTAGCCTTGAGCACAAAACCTCAGGGACAAGCCCACGTGTTGAGTTCAAGCCCCAGGGCTGGTACACACACACAGGTTCTTTAAGCCTGACTACAGTAACTCAGCTGCCCAACCGATAAATCTACCTTTATATATTATCATTATCACATCAAATTTTGGCATCACTAAAAACAATAGTATGAATAGTATGAATTTGGAAATTCTTAAGAAAACAAATATAGATATATCCTATAATCTAACAATACCACTATTGGGCATCTACCCAAAATATTACAAGTCAGGATATAGTAAACTATGACATTTTCACATCCATGTTCACTGATGCACTATTCATGATAGCTAGTTAAGCTATGGAGGCAGCCCAGATGCCCTAAAATGGATGAATAGATCAAGAAAATGTGATACACACACACACATACACACAATGAAACTAGTTATCAGAAAGAACAGGGAAATGGATGGACCTAGGAAAAAATGTTAAAGTAACTCAGGCAAACATTGCCAAGTTTTTTCTCATATGTACAAGTTAGATCTAAAATATAAACATACACAAAACCATATACAAGGTTATATGCATCTATACACACAAACTGACTAACGGATGGTAAACTCAGGGGAGGATCCCAATAGTGTAACTCCTTTAAACAACTAACAAACCTTCCAAAATGATCAGGAAGCTGAAACATGGTTGTTTTTTTGGTTTTGTTGTTTTGTTTTTGGGGGACTAGGGAGCAGAAGAATAGAGAGAAGGCAAGTCAGCAAATACAATCATTATATTCAAGGTACCTAGATGAAAATGGAACCATGTAATTTGAGGATATGGATGGACTAGGAAAGATGGGGGAGTGATGGAAGGGGTGACACTGATCAAAATGCATTGTACACATAATCTGCCTTGTTAAATTGAGAAACCTTTGTACAACTACCTGAAATAAAAAAATAAACAAAACCTTGGTTCCTCCACGCACTGACACATAGCAGATAGCTGAGTAAGTAAAAAGAGAGTGCTTGTAAGGATCCTATTGTTCTTGACAAATTTTGGAGAATTTTTAGTATGCAACACTTTTCTTACCTCTTCAGGTTTTACATCTCTTGTTGTGAAGTCTTTAACACAGTCTAAAAAGCAGGTTTCTGTAAGTTTATTGTAGGTTCCCAGGAATTCTTTAAACTACAAATAAATCATAAAGTTATTTAATACTCAGTTTTAGAAACAAAGATGATTTGTATCTAAACAAAATATCCTGTCACATCGCAAATCATGTTTTTTTTTTTTTTATTGTTTTTGTTTTCAGATGGGCTTCCTATATAACCCAGGCTTGGCTTTGAATTTATGATACTACTATCTCAGGCTTTTGAGTGCTTGGGATTAGAGGTGTTAACTACCATATCCAGCTAATAATGATTTTTGAAAATGATCTATAAATAACCACTGATTCACATTTTCAATAGTAGATTCTATTTTTTATTTTTGCAAGATCCCCTTAATTGTAGTACCTTACCTGTTTTATCTGATCAGATTCTGGTATTTGTGCGGCCATATTCTTTTGATATGTTTATTAGTCACCTAATTTAAAAGTTAAAAGAAAGAAATTTGTCAATCTATTAAATATTTTAGGCTAAAGAGTTACCTCATTATTAACATATTTTATAAATTTCTAACTATAGATATAATTATATACCATTTCTTTCTTTTTGAACTCAAGTCCTTGAGGTTCTTTTGCTCAAGGCTAGAACTCTACCACTTGAGCCACAGTGCCATTTCTGTTTATGTGGTACTGAGGAATCAAACCCAGGGCATCATGCACACTAGGCAAGCACTCTACCACTAAGCCACATACACAGCCCCAAATGGAGGGCCTTGGGCTTTTTTTCTTGTATGTTTTGTTTTTTAGTTGGTCATGGGGCTTGAACCTGGGGTCCGGGCACTGTACCTGAGCTTTTCTGCTTAAGGCTAGCGCTCTATCACTTGAGCCACACACAGCACCACTTCTGGTTTTCTGTTGGTTTATTAGAGATAAGAGTTTCACAGACTTTCCTGCCCAGCTGGCTCAGATCTCAGCCTCCTGAGTAGCTAGAATTACAGGCATGAGCCACTGGTGCCTAGCTAGTCTCAGATTTTTAATAACGGTTTAGATTTTGTGATGGGTCCCTGTCTTAGTGTGTGTGCATGTGTGTGTGCCCTAATCCTGGAGTTTGAACTCAGAGTCTGGGTGGTATTCCTGAGTTGTTTTATTGCTCAAGGGTAATGCTCTACCACTTGAGCCTCAGGTCTACTTCCAACTTCTAGGCTGGCTTTGAATTGTGATCCTCAGCTCTCAGCCTCCTGAATAGGTAGGATTACAACATGAATTGCTGGTGCCTGGTTTATCATTCAGTTTTAAATCAACATCAGCTCATAAAAATATTCAGGGTTCAAAACA